TCTTCTTAATGTGTTGTCTTCCATCGTTCTTCAGTTCCTTTTTGTCATATCTGTATGTATGCACATCTCCGTCAGGCTCCATCTCTTTTGATAATTCGTCTTACTTATCCTCCTCTCTTTGTTTCTGTAATTGTCTAGGCATTTGTCTGTGTAGATGTCTCTCTTTCTCTGACTAGCAGTGGTTTAGTAAAGTCTCAGGTGTATACACCACCATTAAGTCATTAGATGGTATCTCTGCATCCTAATGAAGCCAGGGCTTTAACAATCTTGGGTCAGAAAACCATTAACTGATAATTAATGTAAAACCTAATTCAAGGTGAAGAAGCAGCCCTGTTTTGATAATGTGTTTTAATATTGTGGCCCCTTGTGGGACTCTTAACAAACAATTTCTAGAATGTAATGCTTAGAGACAAGGCTTTATCCATTATTGTATTCAAGGTTTCCCAAAACCATTCCCAAAACATCTCTCTGGTATTGAGCTACAATGTAGCAAAGATTAGCCAACACTAAAATGCCTTTGGGAAACCCAGGCTCTTGTCTGTGTAGCCAAATGGCCTGTCTGAGCTTTATAGCCCATTTCATCACTGAGGAAATGGGGGGGGGATAGAGCACTCAGGCCCACGGCTAGTTAATCTCATTATTAAAATTGGATGAAATAAATGAAACAGAGTTAGGTTTTTTGTAGAAGAAGAGAAAAGAAGATACCTCCCTAATATGTTTAGCTGCTTTGTTTTGCTTTCAGGGTTTTGAGTTAATCTACAGAAAAACAAATGTCATACATTACCCAAAAAGGAGACTCTTTGTATGCTGTCTTACGCACTTTTCACCATTATTGATATAGGTGGAGGGACGGATTCTATTTAAGTGGTTGGTCTATGAACTAAAGGACATTGTGTTAACTTGTTGGTTTAAGACGAAATATTCAAATCACACAAATTAGTGATCGTAATTAATTTTGTCTTTTAGTAAGACTACACTATTTTCCGATATATATACCCTCATTTCAATATTAACCACAAGTCTTTATAACGTTTAAGTTGATGTTTTATGATTACAGAATAAAAAAAACACATCTCAAAACACGTCATTGACAACGGTACATAACTAAATATTGGACAAACCCTTCCAGTGGTTTACTTTGGTAACATTAGCCATTTATTTATATATAAGCCACCGAGCGTAAAGGTAAAAACGTGATGTTCTTCTGGCAGCTCGAGGCTTTGTCTTCGTGTATTGTCCTCCTCTTCGGCTGCTGCATCCTTTTTGATTTTAATCTTCCTCATTCCTATCATCATAGAGTTCATATCTCTGTAGTAGATTGGCATTGTGAGAGCTCTGTCTGTTTGAATGCGACAACACATTTACTGCTGCTTGATCCCGCCATGATTGTGCCCTTTTCGTTGACATGATAGAATTGTACAGCTGAAGGAACATTTATATTTAATCTCCTAACTCTCATCCTTAATGCATGAGGAGAATGGGAGACCCCACTAAACCCCCACGCCACTGTGCAACCCCCCTCCCCCCCACCTCTCAGCCCGCTGGGAGAGGGATGAGGAGGATTAGAGCAGGATTAAGTCTGTGGTGTGAATGGGAGTCGCGAGACCACTACAATTATTCACTGCTCCTATCACTCCCTCAAGCATCTTCCTTATTCCATCCTTTCCCCTCTCCTATAAAATCCGTCCTTGCCCTATTTCATTCCCTAGAACCTCTAAAAACACACTTTTAAGGAACATAATTCCCCATTTTTAAACCTAATCTTAACCCTAAATCTATTTCCTCTTACTTATTTAGAAAATGAAATCCAAACAAGCATGAGTGAACCAAAGAATGGGAAACAAAGTTTTAAAATCCATCCGCAATGCAGCCTGAGAGAACAGGAAACACTTCTCTCCCTGGCGGTTTGAACTCATCTCCATTCTGTCTCTCTTTGCTTTGTCTCCAGGCGCCAAATGTTGCACGAGCTCGGTGCTCTTTCCATTAGTCTGCTGTCGTATCTGAATGAAGCCATTCGGAACATTAACGTAAAAGTCACCACCTGTCTGAATGACAAAAAGCCGATACTTCATCAGCTACATGGAGCCAATGATGTTCTAGTTTATATGCTTGAAAAGGGCTTGAGTGTATTTGCCAAAATGTCAAAGTTACCATGGTGGCTTGAATACCCTCAACCTCTTCGGTCAGCAAATATATGTTTCAGTGACGCACAGCCAAAATGTCACATCTGAATTCCCAATGATTACTATGATCTTAAGGAGAAGAAGGCCTGGTAGTTCAATCATATGCCATGTTTTTATTCTTTCAGTACACTCTGTGTGTGCTTCTTTTTCCTGAGCGCTGATCGCAGTTTGACACATTCATTTCTGTCTCTCTTTATGTGGAATCAAGTGAATATTTTTAAATGGCTGCAGGGTAGGAGCTTCATCATCGCTGCTCCATCACGCAGAAATCAATATGTGTTTACCTGTGGAGAAATTAGCAATCACTCTCTGTCCCCCCCCCACTCTCATTTTGTTCTCTGTCTCTTCTAATTCACACACAAACACAACAAATCAGTAGTGAACAGTGTTGGTCAACAGCAAGCATTAGAGACAAGTGAAGGGAATTCTACTTGTGTATATGTGTGACTTAGTCAATAATAGTCTGGGATAAGGTGTTGCCTGCAGTTTAATAAGTGAAACACATTACACTGCGGTACCTAATGGGAAATGGATTTCATTTAAATACTTAGTCAAACCAAAACTAATCCCAGAGATCTGCGAGTCAGTATTTGTACATAAATGTTGCAGTGGAACAATTAGGAATTAGAATAGTTTTGTTAAAGTCTTTTTTTAAATCACTATTATCTTTGAGAAACACAGGGAGACTCAAAATGTATTAGTATTGAAGTTGTATACATTAATATTGTGGTGGATAAAGACGGTAGCAGATGCATTAATGTTTAAAGTTTATTCAGGCTAAATTTACTGTTGATTTACGGTGAAGCATTTTCTGATTTTGTATGTAGGTGAGTGAATGTTTAGTGCTCTTGTTCAAGACTCAGCTACTGAAAAAAGTAATATATTTGTTCTTATACATAAATACAAATAAATCCTCAAAGAATTAATTAGTACTCATCTTATTAATGCTGATTTCCTACGATGGCTTAATCAAAACAGAATGTGTCGTACATTATGATGCCAGTCATTCGCTGAAAAATACTAATGTCTTGTTCAGGAAAGGAGACAGCCATATAGAAATGGACACATATATATTACAATGTGTTGCCTCAGACTGTAGGAATAAGGTATAGCAGAAGAAAAATACTTGGTACGCCTTGCTGTTTATTTCTTGAGAATGGACACTGAAAATAATGGTTGACTATGTGATAAATGGTGATTTGATTTGTTCCTGGGGTCCACACATAATATTAAAATAAAAATATTACTACGATGGCGAGAAAAAGGTCAAAAATAAATCAATTTAAAATGATTGAAAAAGCTTGTGTGAAGAAAATCCAGTGTACAATAATTCATTACGTTGAATGCTCCCCAATATGGCACACATTAAGAACAAGCCACTGGACTTCTTAAGCTCCGCCCCTCGGTACAGTGTTTCCCTGTGGGTTTGAGGAACAAGGGAGTGGGGGGGTTAAGTGCTCATGGGGTCGTACAGTACAACAGGCCTATTAGAAGAGAGTACTGAGGGGGCAGCACCCCCAGACGCCACTTCTTTAATATTGCATGTTGGCACTGCGGTTCCTCGCAGCCTCAGCTAGCTGCCATGGTTCAGTTTGGCTTGGTTTGGATGTGATATTGTCGCCTTGAGTGTTCATGTGTGTGTTTGGATGGCGAGCGCTGTCTGAGGTGGCGATGGAGGAGGTGTGCTGTAGGTTCGCCCGGTGTCGTAGGAGGACATCTTCTCTCACTCTGACACTGCCCCGATGCAAACTGGTAAGACTTAAAAAATAGGGGTTTGCCTTTATTCTAAGGGGCACAACACAAGTACATTGGTTCACCTTGTATGAGAGATAAAACCCACCTGCCTTGCTTTGTAGTCAATCCAATTTTTAACTGTCTTAGTTGGTCTCTTAATAATGTTTGCATCTTTATCTATTGTTTATTGGTAGACCAGTTGGTTTTCACAGCTCTGCTTAATGTGTAACCTCTGAAACCTTAATGTTGATACATTTGGTAGTAATACCTTGACTTGACTTTTGTTGGTCTTATTGTGTCTCTTATGGTGACCGACATTGAGTATGTGTCCAGCTTTGCAGGGCTTCTGACAATGTGGTCATTTCCTGTGCATCTGTTACTGTTAGTCTACCACAAGGGTAGTCTCTGATTTAGTCAGGCTAACGCTAGTTTTCTTTGTGGCTTCATAGGAGGAATATCTGTTTTGTGTTACACTTTGTCCACGAGGTGTCCTGTGCTGTGTATCTTGGGATTCATAATATTGATGTCCAGTGTCTTAATTAGGTGTTAAAATGGCAATGGAAGTGTATTTGCGTGCTTTGCATCTGGCTCTAAATGAGTTTGAGTAAACTTGTAATATCTATTTGATGGTGTGTTCCGTGTGTTCCGTGTTCCGTGTGCACATATAACATGTAAGCAATTTGCATTAAACAAAGCTTGTCCTGACATCCTAATAAGTCAGCCACAGCCAGGATGTACTGCTCAGTGGTTTTGATAAGGTCACTACAAACATATAACACCAGTCTCAAACCTCCAACCTTCCTCTGTCCATCAGAAATGAAATATATCATGCTGTAATTCACAGCCGTGTGAAGCCTCTTCATCCTCTTCATGTTAATTATGTTGGAGTATAACATGTCAAACACTGCCAAACCAGCGTTGGCTTTCAAGCTAATGAAATACCCGTCTGTGTGTTTGTGAGAGAGCGTGTATTTGTGCTTGTTCCGATACACACTATGTTGTATATGTTGACTCTATTAAACTAATTTTCTCTTCTCTTTTTTCTCCTTCTGTGTCTCTACCACTTCCTGTCCGTCTGAACAGCTTCCTGCGGACCTCAATAAGATGCACCTAACAGACCACGCCCATCAGCAGGTGATGCACATGGCCCCCAGCCAATCAGGATGCAGCATCGCCAGTGACTCGGGGAGTAGCAGCCTATCAGATATTTACCAGGTGGGTCCTTTATTGCTAATTTTAAAATATAGTCTCTTCTTTTAAATGACTTTCTCTTTTTAAGACTGCAGTCACAACTGACCACTTTTCTGCAACATTGTATGTACAGTTTTGTTTTTTTGGACCAATGTGCCAACCAACCTTAAAATCATGACATATCGACATTGTCAAGTAACAGTTCAATGAAATCTCATGTTTTGTAAGTTTACCATCAAAGTTTGGACCTTTTACATTTAACTTTGCCAGTCTTTTTCCCCTGTGTAACATATTTTAAGTTTATTGTATAAGAAGTTCAACATCAGTATAATCAATCCAATTGTCCCAGTATCAAGTATTTAGAATATCCTGTTGCTTAACTGTCCAGTATTTTTTTTTTATATAAGAAAGCTTTTGATACATTTCAAATAATGTTTTCCTTCCCTGCTGCCATTATCACTTCTTTGGCACAAACCATTAATAAACCCTTCCACCACAGCACTGCCAAAACACCTGGTCTGTGGTGAAGATGGTTGATTCAGTTCATTTTGCACCAATTATGTGCACCTGTAGCATATCCGTCATTCCTCTACCCTCCCTCCCTGTAATCCTCTGTATCTCACTAATTATCGCACATCAGTTGTGCATCCCGGTGTTCCTCTGTACTTCCTGCTGCGGATGAAAGGTCACATACAGGAAATGAACCTAACCCTTTCCGATCCGTCTATAGCTGGCTGCAGATATAGGAGCTGTAACATTGTCAGTGTAGCTGGGTTTATAACAGGTTGTCCTGTGGGCAGATTCCACAGGTTGTTTGTAGCATATAGTAGCAGGTAAATTGAAAGAGTTTGACATCTAGTGTACAACACTAGTGCAAATGATGTTGGACTTAACTTCAAAATATGTTTTTTCTAAATGTGAATGTCAGTAATCCAGGCCTATTTACTCCAATTCCTGTCAGATTTTGTCATTTCACATTATCCTCTTAAAGTAAATTCATTCATTTAAAATATGTTTTCTTAGCGTTGTGTCTACGACCCTTTTGCTTCTTACTGGTGTTTGCTTTTAATGTCAGCACACTAGCCAGCTTATAACATTGTTGCGTTTTTCAATTATCCAGCTTAAGTGTTAAATGTACAAAAGTATTATTGACAGAGTACGAGCTCTTCATATTTTTCCTCTCCTCTTGTATTAGCCTCACCTTTACGTGACATTTCGGAGCATTCAATAGCTCAGTGTGCTTTTGAATTGAATGCCTTTCTCGAGTGCAGGGTATTTAAATGGCCGTGAACCAATAATCCATAAAAGGGTACATGACGAGGCTGACATCTCATCATTTTAATCCCTCAAACCTCCTAATCTCCTCTTTTTACACAGAAAGTCGTAACAAATCCAAGAACCTTTTAATATTACACTTCAGTCCTGACACTGGGTGCTGCAGTTTTTTTTGTTTCTTTCTTAAATGTTTGTTTATGCATGTGTGGGTTAGGAGGGGTTCCCCTTTTGACACCAGCTTGTTAGCATTGTAGGCTTTCATCAGGGGAAATGGTGAAGTCCATTAGCTACAAACTAATGAGCTGTTTACAAGTTAATGAGCTGCTATGATCAATGAGTGCCGCTGGCCACACAACTAATGAGCAAGTTTGTTTTCAGTTACGGACCGTCCACACAGCAGCGTTAAAAAAATCTTGGAGGTGGGCGTATCTGAAGCTTGGGGATTTTTTGCGAGCAAGGCACCAACAACCAATCACATGAATCTCCCGCCCGCGACATACGAAGCAAAAACGTTTGAAGTAAACTGGATATAAACTCCCCAAACAGGCGAAAACATACCACTGTCTCTGCCACCTCCCTCCATGCCTGGCTCCTCCGGTTTATATCCCGGTAGGTAAATAGGGACTGGTCATAAAGCACCGTGGTGATTCCCTACCGCTAATTTCTCCTCCATTTTTTGGAATATGAGGAAATGACCTGCGGTATGTCTCTCCCAGCATACACGCCGTTTGATTGGCTAGAGCTTGAACTGTCAGATGTGCGTACACGGGATTTGATTGGCTGACGCTTCCACCTCAGCCTCAAAAGTTGAACATTGCTCAACTTTGAATCCTGAAAATCCTGAAAATCTCCGCTCGCCTGCCCACAATGCAGTTCGGCGAAAAGTGAGGGAAAGTGACGTCACCCCATTCAAAGTGAATGGGCAGAAGCGTTTCAAGATTTTTTAACGCTGCTGTGTGGACGGTCCGTTAGGGTCCTTTACAATGCTAATATCCTTATTAGAAAATATAGGTTTAATATCTCTCAAATACACTATAAACATTACAATTAAGAAGTACATACAAACTATAATAAAAAAGTAGAACAAAGAAGTTTTTCTCCAAGGTATTGGAAGGCGTACAAATAAGAGAGCTACAGTTTTGCTGCTTTCTTCGAACATATCAAAAGTTTACCATCATCCGTGTGTGGTGGAGGATTGTCTCTCTGTCTCTCTGACTCACAGTTTAGACCTGGCCGTGCTCTCTCTCACCCTCTGTGTGTGTCCAGTAAAACAACGCCACAGATCTTTCTCCTGCTTTCCCAGGGATGACTTTCTCCTATGCAGCAGTGTTCAGTCAGCAATGATAAGTTTGTTGCAGCAGCAATTTGCATACATTTCCATATTGTCCTGGAACATTGTTTGCACCATGAAAGAGAAACACCTTAAAAATATATTAGGGATGAGCCCAAACATGTTTTCTTTGATTTTACCTGTGAAAAACCTTGGGGGAAATAAAGACAACCCCAGTTTGATTGTTTATTGACGGGGAGAAAATCCTTAAATAAGCCTCAACATCTCATGGTGGTGCAGTTAAGTAGGAAAAGGGTCTATGAATAACTGGTGACCTACAGTAGAAGTACCAGGGCAAGGAGCTGATGAATAATAGAAAATGTTAGTGTCCGACTTTTCACATGAGCTCTCAATGGAAAAGAGACTAAAATGACATAATTCAGATATTCTAACCTCCTTTTCTGCCACAACCTGTCCTCCTTCCTCCGCCTGTTTGTGAGCGTTCGTAGATTGATGTAAGTTAGGTCGGCCTGGGTCAGACGTCCAACACAGAGACCTGATCTCTTCATCCTGAGATTAGATATTTATCACACGGATCTGATCCCATCAGCTTGTCGCTGACCCGTTTCTGTGTTTGTTTACACCTGTCTTAAAGCGCTTTAGTCGGCTCTGGTTCTCAGCTGTCAGGACTGTTTTTGTCATGGCTTTCTTTTTTTCCTACTATCTCCATTACCTTAAGCTGACTCACAGTTGTTCACTTTACTCCAACTCCAGACTTTTCAACTCCATCTGCCTCCTCCTGTTCTCACTGCCCATACTTCTGCCCTTTCCCTTCATCTCTCCAGACAGTCACCTGTACAGTATTTCTCCTATTATTCTCTATTCCTCCCACATGACACTATTCTTTTCTCTGTTTTTCCTCTCCTTTCTGCCACTTTCTCGTAGTCTGCCACAGCACTGTAGAATGTAGGGTTTCTCGGGCAGCTCTGATGTCCCTCGACTCTAGGAACTGTCCTCCTTGCTCAAACTCAGTCTGAGACCGGGGGAATTGGACTGAAAGGGCACATCCTGCATTCTGAATGAACCGGTCTCCCAAAAGCCCTGAGAGATATGTCAGCAGCAGAGGGCGAGATGTTATTGTCTCAGGGATATCACCACAGCACACAGGATTTGAACCACTTCTATAACAGCCTCTATTTGACAATAAGGAGTTATGTCGGGGACTATAAAAAACCACTGCTGCACTTTTAGCCTCGAGGACTCAATAAATCAGTGGTGATGGAAAAGTGAAAAACATAGATTTTCACTTGGGGACAACTTGTTGGACAAACTGTTGTCGATATATTTGGTTTAAGTGACTCATTTGTTTTTTTTTACCCCTAAGTGTAATTTACATTTGAGCTGCTTTTGTTTCTGAAGGTCCAATTAATGAAATCCTAACATTTACATTCACTTTTAATATGCAAGTCATTTAAAATTGGTGACAAGGTAAAGAAAACCAGGATTCACATTTTATTTTTGACAGGAAAGTATTTTTCCTGCTTGTCTGTTCTTATATTTCAAAATATTAGGCTGAAAGGAATGTACCTAAGGGCAGAATTTGTAGCTGTTGTGTAAATGTCCTCGAAATAGCTGTCTATGAAAACAAGAGTGAACCTGCGCCTGAACTCGGGATGGCTTGTTAGCTTAATTTCCCTGCCTCCAGAGAATCCTATAAAACCCATTGGCAAGATACCAATTCTCAAAAGAAAGCCAAGAGCTGGATCGTGTTGTAGGTTTGGGAGTTCATCCGGTAGTGTGTAGGATAGCAAATTCACTTTTTCATTCTTTCCTCATTCCACTCTACTAATCAATGACTTCAAAATGCATACAAGTACATTTTCCCTAGTCAAATTCAACTTTTATACATACTCTCTTTTCCTCCCTGTAACAGGTTTATGGACATTGTTAAACACACAAAAAACAAATCTTAACTAAGGCATGTAGACTGCAACGCTTGTTGCCCAGTCATAAGCAAATTGAATACAATAAATAAGAGAAATAATGGATTTTAAGCAAAGACCGGAACCAATTAGGCTCTATTATCCTAGAATACTGTATTTGCTTTCAGGCCTACCTGATAGAGCCAACAGATGGCCTGCAGCGCTGCCAGCACCACTGGGGAGCTCCGCCTTCCACCTCTAGGTCAATGGTTCAATCCCCACCCGACCTGAAAGCCCCAATGCCCCTTTAGAGCCGTACCCTGCCAACCATCTGTCTGCAGTACACACTGGAAACAGGGTTACATATGAATTATTACAGCTGGATTTAAATATTTGGCTGTTTGGGAATTGGTGTCAGGATTTTAGCCCAGGGTCACAGGTACAGCTGCTCAAGGTTATTCCTCAGGTGTTGTTTTTCCCCCCACAAATAATCATCACAAAACAAAGGGGAGATGTAATCAAGATTCAAGGTATTTTGCTAATCAAGGTTATTTGATAGCTTATTCATATACACATTTCACTCAACTGAATGGCAAAGGACACATACTGTTTATTCTATAAATGACACCCTAAGTTCAAACTAAAACTATAAAAGAACATGTAAAAAAGATATCTTTGAATTTAGATGCTTTTTCCTTAAAAATGTGCCCCTTTCATTCCAATAATTAAATAATACTGATTCATTTTGTGTGCCAATTTCTTAATACATTCTCCATCATGTTAAAATATTGTCGTGTTGGAACACCACAGTGCAGAATTAAACTGGTGCACATCAACATCTGGGAGTTGAATTGGTACACATTACTTATCCAATACTAGTTCCTACGTCTAGTTATTGCTCTGATTATACCTTCATCTTAACTGAAGCGCCCACAGACTGCTTCCTCCTGTCCTTGTCCTGTTACCAACCACTGTGCTGCTTTCTCCACCATCTTTGTTCTGCAGGCCACAGAGAGCGAGCTGGGAGATGTGGACCTGTCTGGACTTCCAGAGGCTGCAGTGGACAGCGAGGAAGAGGAGGAGGAAGATGAGGACCTAGAGAGAGCGTCAGACACTCTTGTAGGCCGAGACTTGGTCCGAGAGTGTCTGGAAAAAGAGCCAGCAGACCGAAACGATGACGACATTGGTGAGTCTGACTCTAACCATTCTGCTTGTTTGGTCTTCATATTAACCTTCAATGTTCTATTGAATTTGAAAGCAGCTTTTAAAGGGTATTCATCTTTCTCGCCTACAATCCACCGTTGAATAGCGCACTTCAAATCTCATTGAAATGAGGCACTCATACAGAATATGCCTGCGTGTCTCTTGAAACACTTACAGGACTGTCAGTTACTATTTTTAGACGTTGTACTTAGCATACAGTCCTCACATACATCATCTATCATTCAATAAGCAAAGAGGAGATACACAACTCCCCTCTTTCACAAAAGCAGCCCTCACAGTGGTCTCTAAACACAGGTGCCCTTCCACTGTGTATTTTAAAGCAGGCAATCAGAGAGACGACCTCATTAGCGGCACCCAGCGGGGGGGTCCTGTGGGAGAAGGTGACCACATGAAAGAGATGAGAGGAGTTGTAAAGGCCCGGCCTGCTGAGTGCATGCTGGGAGGCTGGCCTTCTCGTGGTCCTCACCTTTCACTCATTCAGATATAAGAACTTGAGAATTTGAGGGAAATCAGTAAATTAATGAATACATTTTTCTTCCTAAATAAAGTTGACTTAAGTTACGGAGTCATTTGCCATAAGTTTGCCTCTCAGGATAATACTATATACCTTTATGATTTAGTGTTTAGATAAGATTTAGCTTTTATTCCATTTTATTTGACCAATCCCTTTGTTTATCCTATCAATAGAATTCCTGAAAGTCTTTCACTCCTAAATATATGGGGAGATATATTTTGTGTTGACTATCAAAAGGGGCACCCTGGAGGGGTCACCTTTCCAATCTGAGAAATAGCAAGATGGTTAAAAGTCTTGGCAACGTCTTCTATCCGTTGCCTTATTAATGAATGGATAACTGCATCCTCTAAAAGGTATTGAATTAAAACAATATTCGAAGGAAAATTCTGTCTTTGTTAAATAAACACATGAAAAATAATCAGGGGTGGCATGAGGACATAGCCAGCCAAAAAAAGACTGCAAAGAAGTACGTCATCGATCCTGAATACTGTCATTAAATATTCATCTTATTATTACTACATTCCATTACTGCCTGATTAATACCACTCTGCTGGTGGATCTATATTCAAAGCCTTTAGTCAGAAGGTGGGGCTTTAATCTGCGTAGCTCACCAGATTGTTGGTTTCCACTGGATAGTTTCCAATCATAATATTCAATATGTACTAAATGTAATATCATCTTTAATTTTGCTCACATTTTTAAACATACAACCATCTGGCACTTCAAACTGTTTAAAAACATTCAGAATGACCTCAATTAGTGTGACCCAGGTTTTGGAAGAGCAAAGTAAAGAAGAAAAAGAGAGTAAATGAACGAGGCGATAACAGCAGGGGGAATAGAGGAAGCTGCTCAGCCAGGATCACAGTGTGCAGGATGGAGCTGGGTCACTATGTTCTCACACACAGTGGAGGGGGGGGGGGGGGGGGGATGGGTGGAGATCTGGAAGGGAGGAACACGGTGTGAAAGTTTCTCATTAGGCATGAAAAGCCTTAGCAGTGATAGCATGCACTGCTCCTGGCCGTATCATCACTGAGAGATACTGTTATCTGTGTTGTTATGATGTTTGAAAGGGTATACAATTTCACATTCTCCATTTTCTAAAAGGTTACTTTGTACTTGAATTCACAGTAGCCTTGGTGATGTATGTGTACATGCAGTAGGGGGCATTCAAAAGTCCATACTTTGTTTTAGAAATGCTGTTGTTAGTCAATGGTTAAAAATCAATGAGTGTGTTAACCACACACCTGAGAAGCAAACCTTGTTTTGGTCACACAGATGACATCAATACATGCTCTTTACATGGTTCAAAAGAGTTTATGCTTTCTCTTCAATGCATTTCTTCTCTCCCTTTTATCCTTTTTGTGGCAAATAGAGCAACTGCTGGAGTTCATGCATCAGCTGCCTGCCTTTGCCAACATGACCATGTCTGTGCGGAGAGACCTGTGCAGCGTGATGGTGTTTGAGGTGGTGGAGCAGGCAGGCACGGTCATCCTGCAAGACAAAAAGGAGGTAGGAACGAACTCATAGCATTCACACATATATGTATTCGTGAGTAGAAATGTATCAAACTGCAAAGGGGCCTTGTACAATTTGGAGAAAGAGAGAATGCTTTTTTGCTGCATGTCGCACTTAGATCGATATCTAATGGGGTGATTATCGTGTGCAAAGTATGTCTGTTTGATTACATCTTTGTAAGCATTATTTATTCAACATTAATCAATACAGAATCTGATGTGTTTTCTGATTCTTAAATGTCTTTCCATGGCCTGCAAATCGTTATCTTTCAAAAGGCACACAAAAAAACAAACAACCATTAAGGTAGGTAAGCCAAGGTGAACATGCACACTTTGTAAAATAGACAATAAAGAAAGGATGTTAAAGCAGAACACAAAAACACTCAGTTTTGAGAGCAGGTGGTGACATGTGAGTAGAGATAAACACATCGTCGCCACCTTCCAGTCTATCCAAAGCTCATTCTTCTACAGAAACTGCTATGTGCAAAGTCACTGCAGAGTAAAAGCCCTGTCAATCTCCTGAGCTGCTACACAGCTAATTAATTAAGTTACATGGCTGAGAAACGGCAGCTCTGTCATGGCTGCTTGGTTACACACAGCAGCGTTGGAAACGTCAGCGTGATAAATGGCGATGAACTGCTCCAGGAGGAAGGGAATCCACGTCAGCAGGACAGAACCACACACACACACGGACACACACACACATATATACATGAATAGGCTGTGTGCATTGTAAAGTGTGCCTCCATACTGTCTGTGTCGAGTCATTTGATGAACAGGTCCTCTCCACTCTGTCTCTGTGGACCCGTGTTGAAGGTCAGAGAGAAGCACTTGACTCCTCTCACAGATTAACACCACTCTGCTAACTGAGAGAGGGAGGGAGAGGAAAATAAAAATAATCTAAAGTAGTGTAACAGAAATAAATACAGTAAAATAATACAGGTAAAGTGCGGAAAAGGAGGATAACATGCAGGGAGTGGGCGAAATCAACTTACGTTTCTTTAATCCCCATTTTATTTGATAAATAAGGAACCTGAGAAAAATAAAGTCTTACAGGCTGTAGTCTTTGCAGGCTGCCATAATTATTCATGATATAAACTCAAGTATGTATAATGAAAATAGCCTCTTAAAGGTGGGGTAAGTTTGAGAAACCGGCTCGAGATACACTTTTTGTTATATTCCATGGAATGCTCTTAACATCCCGATAGCAATGAATATCTTAAGTGCTTTGACAAAAAATCCATACAAAAATGTCATCTGTGGAAGCCGTAATACTGTAAAAAGCACGACCAATCATTTTAGCCGGCCCGGCTAAAATAACTGGATGGCCTACCTGCCTGTCAGCCTTCCATCTGTGCACTAACTTATCTCGTGCCCTCATTGGTCATGTGCGCGTTCGTGTGTGTTGGAGGCGGGGCTCTGTAAGGAAGTGGGAGATTTTTTCCGGCTGTGTATTTTCAAATTCTAGCGATCTCGAGCTGGTTTCTCCAAAATTACCCACCCCACCTTCAAGGTGTCTTGTGTTTAATACTGAATGTAGTTTATTACCTTACCTCACCTTACTTTTTAGAAAAGAACTTGGTTGCCTACGTTTGGTGTGAGAAGAGGGAAATCTGTCTTTGGTTTCCATGTGAAAGATCTTCCAGTGAAAAAGGTTCACTATAACACATTAAATCATATTTAGACAAGTTATATGAAAGGACATTTATATATTAATAACACAATAGAAGCTACAATACAAGTATATGAAGGTACAGGATAGTGAGGTCTGAATTAAGGTTTAATAAATAGATATAACATGCTGTGTGCTTAGGTAGAAAGCTGCCTTCAAAGAAAAGAAGCTGTCTTTACTGATTTAGATATTTTATGGCAACAGGGAAAATGTTTTTTTTTATTTTGAATGACTTTTTATCGTTGCTGAGAAATAAGGAGAGTGAGCAGCTCACTGGCATAAAGGGAAACAAAGAAGCACCGAGAGAATTGGAGATTTGCGGTTTGAGAAATAGTGAGGGAATGAAAAGGCAATGAGGAGGAAATATCAGTTATAGTTGCGGATGAAGCCCCGGGGTTTGTTCCCCCCCCCCCCTCCATCCGCTCGCACCCCAAAATGAATGGCTTGTTATATTATGCCTGCTGGCATTTCCTTTTCAATAGCCACCACTAGAGACACAATACCTCTTCACACTGTACTCATGCCTCACACAAAGCACATTATGCTCCCATAACGATAAATGTCAGCTGGTAATATAGAGCCATTTCAACAGCCATTCTTGTGCAGTGTTATAGGTCAGTTGATTACATAGTGCTTCTACTTTCAAATCCCTCAAACATTACAGTTATATCCACTGTTCTCTTTGAAATCTTTACGACAAATGTATTATAATCTTTAGTCTTGAGATAAGGTATGAAGTATTTTCAATTCAAAAAGGTCCATATGAAGTCACAAGACCTGAACAACAGGCTCGGGGCTTAACAGGTTAAGTCAAGTCGATCTGAAAGTCATTAAATGTGTTGACTCGTGAATCTACCTCCTTGTATTACATAACAGTAGTTTCATTAGGCACACAACCATTTACAGTATATTGACTTAACTGTGAAAAGAGCAGGAATTGAGAGCAATAAGAAGAACCACAAGCCAGCACTAGTGTTGGCATCATGACTAAATGTTTGATACTGAATGGTTGATGATTTTGTCTGCAGCTGGACCTCTGGTATGTTATCCTGAACGGGGCAGTGGAGATCAGCCATCCAGAGGGGAGAGTGGAGACTCTTTGCATGGGCAACAGCTTCGGCATCTCACCCTCACTGGACAAACAGTTCATGAACGGAGAAGTTCGTACCAAAGGGGACGACTGCCAGGTAAAGAGGATTCATTGTCAAGCATCTTGCTGCAAGATTGATAGACTTACAGATTCAATGTGATTGTTAACAAAAGACGGTGATACAATTACAGATTACTTAGTAAAAATGTGTTTTCTTGGCAGACTTGGACATTATTTGTTAAGCTGCAATACAAAAACAAAGTGAAAGTATCTGATATTTCCATTTATGTTATCACTTTCTTTTAATGCTGTTGCAATCATCCTTACACATTTTGTTGTATTCATTTGGTTTTAGTTCATTTAAGGGTGTATTTCCTTTTTTTATCTTTCACTGCTTTTTTTATACTGCATCTTATGTTCATTTCTTCTTTTGACTACAGTGAAGTGTTCTGCAACCAGAAATAGATAATGGCACATCTTAATTTAGAGATTCTCCTTTAAACCTTTCTTTTATTTATTAAAAAAAGTTGACATTTGAAAGTTACTTCAGCGCCTCTTTTGGTGTACCTTTTAAAATACAGAATCTTGCTTGTAAATGAAACCACAGGCCTTTCTACCTTGTCATTTAGGGTCAGACGTGATTACAAATAGGCATGCCGGTTTCTCACAGGAAGCCATCCTTGATACAAAGCATGATTATAAAGCTGTTGATGAGCCTTTAAAGGCAAAAAAAAAAGCCTAGCGAGTGCTTGTGGTAACAGCCCCTCTGTCCACTGCCCAGTTCCTCCGCTGCACGTATCATTTCCTGTCTTCAGATACACAGGAAGTTTCAGAAGGGGCTTAGCAACGCAAATGCAGAAATTGGTGATTTAGTGAGGGGAAGCGCAGACGGAGACAATGCTGTAGGGCGGTGAAGAGTCACATCTTGGCGCTTTCTGTCAGTGTGATAATGGGAAGTTAGTGGATTCTTCTGCAAAATGGATAGCTGACAGGATCTTTGACCGCCGTTGGTACTTTTATTGAGGCTTCTTTCACTTTAGTTGGTGTGTTTTGGACCTTCCACCCCTCCCATGTCTTTCTCTGCCCGCCCTCATGCTTCTGCTCTGCTGTTGTTTGAGTACCCGGCTGTGGTGCCGAGCAGTGTGTTGCTCTACTACAAATTCACACGTTGTCCCCATGTCATCCTCGACAAGTTCGTCTGCGTGGCCCAGGAGGACTACTGGCGCATCCTCAACCATGTGGAAAAGAACACGCACAAGGTGGAGGAGGAGGGGGAGATCGTGATGGTGAAGGAGCACCGCGAGCTGGACCGCAGCGGGACCAGGAAGGGACACATTGTCATCAAGGTCAGAGATTTTAAGATAAAAGTCTTGTTAGATTTCAAGGAACTGGACTTCCAAGAAAGCTTTTTGCTGTTCTGAAGTGTTCCCTGAAAGTCTTCTAGTCCCAGAGGTTTCTGTTCTGTGTCTGACCCCGACCTCTGACAAGATCAGTGTTGTAACACACAATTAGTATCTCTTTAAAATGCTAATCCATTGCTTATAAAGTAAGGATTGCATGGTTGTTCAAGTTCAAATGTAAGGTCAAGTTGGACTGGTGTTAAACCCAGAGCTCAACATTTGTTAGTGAACTCAATTTACATTAGAAATACAATTAACCTTCATCAAGAGCATGTCTGAAACCACATGAGACGGGTACAACAGGAAGGTTAAGGGTTACATTTAGCTGCTCAAAAGTATGCTTAGTTCCACCCTTAACTTGGGTATACATGACCAACTTCTAACATCAGGAAATAATCATACTTTATTCTTTATTATGTACTAAATATGCTGAAATGCTTTGGATTGATTTTTAGTACCACCTCATTATAAATCGACCATGCCCTCCTATACAGTTTCGTGCAGAAACATCAATGCGGCTGCTCTGTGTTCTTAGCTGATCGTTTAGAGGCAGCGTTAGCACTATTAGTGTTTGTCGGAGCATTTTCTTGTTCGCTACATCGCAGTGCGCTCCAAGGCCTTTTGATCCTTTTCCCGGGCCTCCAGAGGCAGCCAGGTATTGATCAGATAATGGGCCTGAATGATTCTCTTGGCCACCGCTCCGAGGAAGGCTGTTGGCTCCAAAACATATCCAGCGGAGATGAGTCAATTCGTGTGTTAGCCTTTCCCTGTCTGTCTTTGGCTTTGTTCTTTATTGTGTCAGACAAAAGTGGAGGCCTTCTAGTTTCTCTTCCCTGTAACATGAATCATTTCCCCTAGAAACTTTGCTCTGGTGACATTAACAAACTCACTTAAACCGAAAGTCTAGAGTATCTGACTTCTTATATGTGATTCGGATGAATAACAATCAAAGATGTAGACAAAGAAATCACAAATGTTATAATAGTACATTTAGATTGAGGGTTTATACAGAAATGATGTCACACCTCAGTCACAAATGATCGAGTGTGATGTTGTAAAAGAGCTATTGTGTGTGTGTGTGTGTGTGTGTGTGTGGTGTGTGTGTGTGTGTGGGTGTGTGGGTGTGGGGGGGTGGGTGTGGGGGGGTGGGGTGGGGGTGTGTGGGTGTGGGGGTGGGTGGATGTGTGTGTGCCTGTGTTTGTTTTATTGATGGGTGACTGACAGCTCAGTTCAATAGCTGCAGTGTATGTTCTTGTCACTTTTATGATTTATGTCGACATAAGTTATTTAAGTGTGTGTGTGTGGTGTGTGTGTGTGTGTGTGTGTGTGTGTGTGTGTGTGTGTGTGTGTGTGTGTGTGTGTGTGTGTGGTGTGTGTGTGTGTGTTGTGTGTGTGTGTGTGTGTGTGTGTGTGTGTGTGTGTGTGTGTGTGTGTGTGTGTGTGTGTGTGTGTGTGTGTGTGTGTGTGTGTGTGTGTGTGTGTGTGTGTGTGTGTGTGTGTGTGTGTGTGTGTGTGTGTGTGTGTGTGTGTGTGTGTGTGTGGATTACATGTGCCCTTGTGTCAATTCAGCTGTCCTACATCTGTGTGTAAGAGTGAGGGCTGTATATTTTTCTCCTTGTATCCTCATGTGTGTGTGTATATATATATTACCACCCTAGGGAACCCCCGACCGTCTGATCATGCACCTGGTGGAGGAGCCGTCGGTGGTGGACCCCACTTACATCGAGGACTTCCTGCTGACCTACAGGACTTTCATCTCAAATCCTATGGTGGTCGGCAGGAAACTGCTGGAGTGGTTTTATATGGACAACCTTCGAGACACAGTGAGTTTTTTTGGACGTTTCTGTTTGTATGTACACTCTGTTGTTAAAGGTGTGGCCACATTTGCATGCATGTTTGGACAAGAGTAGATAATAAAGTCAAGGTCAAGTGTGTAGGAATGTTCAGGTCCTTTTCTGTAAGTAAAGGTTTAAAGGTCACCGATTACACAAAATCCACTTTTTCATGTCTTTTATACATCAACATGTGTCCCCTCTGTGTAAAGAGATTCTGAAAGTTTCAGGAAAAAAGATTCTCTCTCTTTTTGTCCTGATCCATTTATATAAAAACCTGTCTGAAAATGAGCTGATCAGATGTGGGCCAATTAGTGATGTTATAATGTTTTTTTGGCTTGTGTAACCATTAGCCAATAACCAACCAAGGTAACACCCCCCCACCTTATCACCTGAATCTCCTCCTACAGCACCGTTGTGTTTAACCAAATATCTCTCAGAGGGGCGTTGGGAGTGGCTCCTTATTTTCATCTAAAGGAAAAGACAGAGAAACAGGGCTGAAACAGAGGGGATTATGGGATGCTGCAATGCATGATCTGTTTGGTATTTCAAGCCAAACACTTCAGAGACAGGTTCTGTATATATCTGAGAACTATAATATATTGATGAAAAAAAGTATAATAGGGGACCTTTAAGGGTAGTTTTACATCCAAAAGTTGAAACGTTATACATTATTTCACTCTGTATGTGTGCCTGATGGTCCTTACGTTCTTAGCACTACTTATGTTTTGTATTCATGCTTGTCGATGAGAATTGTTGTCGCTCACATCCCAATCGATACACGTTCAGCCAGCTCAGCTGTCTTTGAGCACAGCAGCGATTTGTCCATGCCTGGCACTCCCACTGTCCATACAGTGACTGCTTTAACCCAAGATTAGTCGTGTACTGTCAATACTCTTTATGTGGTTGTCATTCAGGCTTATAATAATCTTTAGCTCCGTTAAACAGGATCTAATCCTGTACAAGACGAGCAGGGAAAAAGATACAGTATGTGGAAAGAGAGGAGGAGGGATGGCGTGAGAAGTGAAAGAAAGAGTGGAAAGTAGACATTGATTGATTGAAGCTCCGTGTTGATGCATTGGTTGCTTTTCTGACCTTTTGTAAAGGTTAGAACAATGTTACCACCGGTGTAAATTTGCAGAAATAATTGTTTCCGGATTCCCTTTGCTTTAGGTTTTTCTTCCAATTATTGTTGGCAAAATGAAGCAGTCAACCGATTGTTAAACCTTTCCTCTGCAGCCATGCACATGATCATTATTTAGACTCCCTGCTGTTTCCTATGTTTTACAGTAAAGACTTCTAAAGGCTGTGTTTTTTATGAATTAAAACTGACATTTGATCATTAGCAGTGCATTGTGGCAGAAATTAAAGTTGATGTTAACTGATTTAAGCATTAATTATAGATGAAAAATATTTAACACAGGCAGTTTTGACAGCATGTAATGTAAAGAGGTCTCCACTTAAAGCAATCTTGTTGTCAAGCATTTAGCTTTCCAAAGTGTCCCTGAGCAACTACTAGCTCCCACGGTCCTGCAGAGTAGTTAAACATGACCTCTGACCCCACACCTACAGTACAAGCACTCTGAAAGAGCTCTCAACACATTTCTTGTCAAAGCAAAGGTACTTAAATACTGTTAGAACTGAAGAGGTAAAGTAAAATGTGACAGGAACTGTGTCAAAAGAAGAGTGTGTTTTGTGGCTCCACTAAATAAAGCTTTCAATTTGTTCTCACAGGTGACGAGAATAGTGCTGCTGTGGGTCAACAACCACTTCAACGACTTTGAGGGCGACCCGGCCATGACACGCTTCCTGGAGGACTTTGAGAGACATCTAGAAACTGCAGTAAGAACAAGAAAAACTTAGGTTTTTTTTTTGATTCAGTTCAGATAGTGGATTTGAATTCCCTGAGTCCCTCAAGACATAGAGTCAGAATACTAGCTCAGATCAAACCATTATTATACTATAATTTACTTTCTCATGCAAAAGCTACTTAGCACACATCAATAAAAAGCCAATTTAAATGCAAGACTTCTCAAACTCAACATTTTTCCATCTTTGTCAGAAAATGAAGGGCCATTTGAGGCTGCTGAATATAGCATGTGCGGCCAAGGCAAAGTGGAGACAGGTCACTCTGCAGAAGGCTTCCAGGGAGTCTCCGCTCTACTTCAGCGTGCAGGGCGGCAGCGAGAGAGGGTTCGGCATCTTTATTGAGTCGGTGGAACCAGGGAGCAAGGCAGCCGAGGCCGGACTCAAACGGGGAGATCAGGTGAGAGGACAACACAAATTAAGCGGTGTTTCACTATTAGACATGATGTATTTCTACTTTTTTAAGAAATAGACCAAGCGGTACATAATATCCAACTTCCAACAAAATCTCACAATTTCCAAATGCTTTCCAGTTTATGATTTGATCATGTCTGTATTGCCTTATACAGCACATTTTCCAACTGACTGCTTTGTTTTTACATTTAACTAAAAAAGCTGACAAGAAACAACCGTTTTCCATTCAGGCTTCCCTGCTGTCATACTGCTCTGCACACTTCCCTTTTTAGTGTCATTTAGAAAGGAACCACATTAATTTCAGTCTTTGTATTTAGTAAACTGCTTGGGAAAATTGCCTAGTCAGGACAGTTTGGAATAATATTGTGATAGGCATACCAGAATACAGCTGAAGTGTTTCAGATGTCAGAAAAAAAGATAAAATACATTTGTCTTGAGTGAAATGCATGCTATTAATTTGACTTCTGCTATCATTTTTTTATTTCATTTCTTGTTTCAGATCATGGAGATCAATGGTCAAAACTTTGAGAACATCTCCTTCTCCAAAGCAGTTGACATCCTGAGAAATAACACACATCTCGCCCTAACTGCCAAAACCAACATATTTGGTAAGCAAAGTCGCATTATTTGTACTCGCATATAGAACAATCTGCTTTAATTCACATCAGTGCTAATCATTTGAGAAAGCGACCAACCCCCCTCCTCCTCTCTTCATACTTCCATCTAGTGTTCAAAGAGCTCCTGAGCAGGATCACGCACGAGAAGAAGAACGGCGTCCCTCACATTCCCAAGATCCAGGAGAAAAAAGGAAACCGCTTCTCCATCCCCGACCTTCCCGGAGACATGGAGTTCCCGACAGACCACAAGAGCACGAGGAAGATGAAGGCCAACACTGTGTCAGGAGGACGGAACAAGATCAGGAAGATGCTGGAGAAGACGCGCTTCAGTATACTGCCACCCAAACCATTCAGGTAGGAAGACATGTACACTGCTGTCTTCATTCAGCCAGTGCTTGAATGGGAAAGAAAACCGAATATTCAATTCTAGATGATATATGAGAGCATAAGCAGTCAGAAGGACTCCAGAAAAATGTTATCTTTCAGCCGGGCACCATTCCTCTCTAACAGGATCTGTTTACCATCTCTCTATCAGTATTGAAGCAAGCTGTGACCATCTGCCGACAGAAAATGTTGGTGTTGTGATCAGATATCTAAGCGTCTTGGTTATGCCACTGAACTGAAATACTTACGGCCCCTCAGGAAGCGATAGAGAAACATATTTAGCCTCTCCTTGCAGCTTGTATGACCCGGAAAAGAAGATATTTCATTCAACTTAATACAAATACTTGCCTTCATTTTGGTACACAGAAATAAGTGAAAGACCCTCCTGATTTCAAGCCATGGGTACAGAAACAATACTCTAAGAATGTGTAGGTTTTCTTTTGCACATGTCTTACTTTGGTCGCAGTCTTTTAGCTGCTGTAGCGTCAATTGATTCCTGCCAATTCATGAAAAATGTAAAAGGCATTATCATCATCGTATAACCATTGTCGTTGCCATCCATAAACAGCCAATACACTCGCAGCATCTGGAGCAATTTAAAGCAATTGTGCAGACGGAGGCTCATATTCAATATTCCAGCCGTGACGAGATGATACAGGCTTGATTTCATTTCATCATTTCATGCCTCTCTAGGCCTTATTATACTCCAAACTGTGTCAGTGTGTGTGTGAGGGAAAACGATGTTCCGTGTTAATTACAGAGCGAACCGTCCGCACAGTTAACTCACACACACACTGCCATACCTACCTCCCCTCCCTCCCTTTTCTCTCTCCACTCTCACAGTTTCTCGACAGTCATTATGTCCACAAAGCCACACAGTTAGCATGGAAACTGATTGTGTGTCTGTCTCACAACGCCACACGCTATCAGGCAGCCATTGATCTGATCTTCAAAAGGCTCTCCGCCGCGTTCTATTTATCGACCAAACAAGGGGGCTTTCATTGCTTTATATTTCTCTGGTAGGCACTATTGAAACCACTCTTTGGTTTAAAGGAATTGCTGGCTGATTAAAGCGAGTGGAGTTGAGAACAGAGACGAGACGGGTGGTTCGGGGCAATCGAGATTCATCTGTGCTTGTTGTAGGATGAAAATGTGTCGTGAGGCAACATTATAAAGTTGTCTTCTTTGTTGAAACAGCTCGTACCTTTTGTACACAGACAGAAAGTACTTTTAAAGATACATTTAAGTATACCGACACTCGCAAGCTTGACTCACTCCCAATTTAAGACACCAACTGTTGCCATGGTGCAGTCTGTCCCTATAATTATCTTGTTCTACTCTCTTATTAAACACCTGGCAAGTTTAAAGAAGGAAAATGGCCGCGTGTAACAATTTAAAATCCAATTAAGAAGCTCTTCTTACACAAACCCATCGAATACGCTGCTGCCCGTTTCTGTTCTTGGCTGACATTGTGCTCAGACTTTATATGACAAGGACACGGCGGCAATAAACGGGTCGTTTTTCTGCCAAATGAAGATGTCTCGGCCTGTGCATGCACCTTAACACACTTCCCATATTGACCAGCCGTGTTGATTTACATTCCACAGATTGGAAAGCAATAGACCAAGGTTTAAGCCCCCGAGTCAGTCGGCCTCAGAAGTCTCTGTGATTTAGTGAGACGGCAATTAAGTAGTAACCTCATGTCCCATGATGCCATTTCATCTTCTCTACTTCTTTGTGATACAGCTACATGCATTCAATCATGATGCGTATTGCCATGATAAGTGATTGTGCATCTCCACATTCAACTTACAAGATGTCCACATTTTACTGCAAGCTCACTGGACAGTTGCAAGGAATATATGTGCTGTTTTGTGGTCAAACTTACACTGTATGATGTTTTCTTTCAAACATTTGTTAACAGAGAGAATGTAGTTTCCTTGCCTTTTTAAGAAGTCGCTGACTGAAAGCTTGCTTATTATAAAGATTGTAGTGCTTTGGTGCTCTTTTTCATTAAGACTAAATGTTTTCTAAAGATATAATCCTTATGACTTCCTGCTACTTGCTGGCATCTTAAGTATTTTTTGTGAATGGGGTAAAATAGTGAAGTTCCTCACAAATCCTGCAATTTCCTGTCATCTGCTGTGTATGAATATATGCTGGCATTTAAAAAAAAAGTCTTCCTTTTTAATTCAGCCAACCTTTCAGCGTGTCCACACTATTGTATTTTCAGTTTCCTACATGTATGTTTGTGTTTAAGTATGTGTACGAAATGAGAGGCTCTGCTGCAGCTGCTAGCTTAACACTCCAGCAGAGCTCTGCTTCTGTTTTCTTTTGTTTTGCTTACTTTTTCTTTTCATGCTTTTCAATGTCGTCTCTCTCCCGTTTTGTCTCCGCTGCTTCAGGGGCCTGTTTCGGTAAGACCTCTTGCGTAACTCCCCGTCCTCCAACCATTTGATTCAGTATCCATCTGCAGCCGGCGCACAGCAGGCAGTCACACACACTCACTCACACAAACACACACCACACCACTGACCTTCAGCAGCATTCTTAGAGGAATTCATTTGAAGATTTCATGCTAATTTCTTTAACTCAAGAATCCCACTTTTCCCGCAAAGTCAAGGTGTTCCTTCTCTCCCTCTGCACGCCTTCTTTCCATCTTAGATTTCCTGTCATTCCACCAAAACTGTCTGTATTCTGCAGGGATGTTTGAGAATAGATTTAAAGGAGATCTATTGGTGTAGAGAAGAGTGTTCTGGGCTAGTGTTTTGGTGTTTGACAGTCAGTACACCTGCCAGCTGATTCAAATCAGATAAATACCTCTATCTATAAAACATAGAAGCTTTCATAGTGTAGTATATGCTAGACATCTTCTACATCTACGTCATATTTAATCTACCGTTTAAATGGTATCATACTTATCTCTCACCAAAATGATTTGCTATATCATACAATTATTTGCTATTATCTGTTAATGGTGTCCAAAACACATGTACTGTATGTGACAGTCAGACGTATCCCCTCTCATTAGAAGTGCGTCTCGTCTTCACATCTAATTATATTTGCCCTTAACCTCCATTTGTCTGAGTAAAGTGCAAATATGGTCAGACCTTAAAATGAGTCCCATGCTGTCCTCTTTCTAAATGCCCTTTGTCTTTTTCTCCTCCTTTCTTCACCAACCTGAATACATTTTGAATATGCCTTTTGTTTGTCGTTCCTTTTCTTTACTTTCCTTTGTCTGTGTTGACTGTCCTCCCATCTTCGAGCGGTGATGATTACATAGGCTTTGCTATAGCAGTTGTTCCTTTGTTAGTGGAAGCCCTGCATCACTGCAGTGTGTAGAGTACACACTGTACAGACACACACACACAGAGGGATGCTACCGTTAGTATGCAGGGAAGGACAAGACGAACACCATGTGTCAGACACCCAATTACAGCCTGCGACTCAAACTCTAAACAACAACATAATGAAATGTGTAGTTGACATTAATAAATCATCACATCTTTGAAGTGACAATTCAAGATTGCTATTTTCTTTTATTCTGTTTCAGTCTGAATTAATATACATTTACCTACATTCTCAATCTTGAAAGTTTAAAGCTGCAACAACTGTTTATTAAAGTTTGATTCAACCTTGGGGAAACCCACTTATATCATTTGAGGCAGGGCTATTTCAATCCACAATACCTAACCTATCCATCTATGGATTTGTCTCAAGAGAGTCGCCATGTCCATCACATGTGTGCAGGTCCAGGCAGTCTAATGAGGCTGTTAATGTAAAGGTTAATGTGTGCAGATCCCTGAGCGCCGCAGGTAGAGAGGCAACTGTCTCTCAAGTCCAGTATTGCCAACTGCTGGACACACACCTGAGAACAGAGGGATTAATGCTAACACTATGGTGGAAGAAGTACTCCGATATTGTACTTAAGTCAAATTAGCAATACTACAGTGAGAAAATACTAATTTGTGCTCCAGTAAAACTACAAAAGTGTTGACAACATAAATTACCTTTAAGTACCATAAGTGCCCATTATGCGGTAAAGCTAATTTCAGAATCATATATCATACAATTATATAGTGATCATTAAAGTGATGATACTGTATATCATCACTTTAATGTTGCATCTGGCAAAGAAAGGGGTTTATTTTAGTCATTTTATTTATAGCTGGGTAGCTTAACCTATAGTAATATATCATGATTTATAAGTAAATGATATTTTATAACAAATGTTTCGCATTAATCTGCAAAATAGCTTGTAACTAAAGCTGGAAAATAAATGTAGTGGAGTAAAAAGTAGGAAACTTGCCTCAAAAATTGATTTAAGTAAAAGTATAAAGTAGCATAATGCTGTAGTGAGAACACTTAATGTGGAGGTACTTTTAATGTCTACTTAAGTACAGTAAGTAGTTACATTCGGGCCACTGCACATAATCAAAAAAGGGGGGAGAACAGGGGGAAAAAAGTACAAATGTGCAAATAAAAACACATTCAGTCACATCTGAATGAGCTAAAATCTTCATGACTTAATGAAACTTTGTTACATTAACCTATCATTTATTTTCAAATGTGTTGTGCTGTCTGCAATGCTTGTTTGTGTCTCTGTGGTCTTGTGCGTGCCTGTCTCTTTGTCCTGTGTGTGTTTACTTACCTTGTGTCTCTGAACACAAGAGAACTCGTGTCTCTTGTCTCTTTCTGTGAATGCTCCTTATCAGTTCCTGCCATTCATGAAACCGCCTCTCAGATGAATTTCAGCTGTGTCACTGCTGCATATTAAAATACAAATATAGAGATATTGAAATGTTATGTTGTCATTCTGCAAGAGTAGACATTTTGATTAAATCCCCATATATTTTGTTATGAGTTATTATATGTTCAAGATGCAGGTAAAGGCGCTCAATCTAATGCTTGTGCTTAACAGTCATAAAACATAAGGGAAAAGCATTCAGGCAGTTTTTTTGAAAGATGTCTACTGCTGCGTAAATCAAAGCCTCAAATGAATTGTGGAAGATTAAATTATGAATTGAAGGTTCAAATCTAATTCTCCTGTTTTCTTTCTCTCTCTTAATACCACACCCTTTTTCATTCAACACCACCCTTCCTCTCCCAACACTCCTACCTTCTTCTTCCTTCCCTCCTATCTTCCCCCTCAAATCTCCCACCGTCCCTTCTTCCTCTCCAGTGACGGGGGCATGGGTCAGTCTCAGGATGACAGCATTGTGGGTACCAAGCAGTGTCGGCACAGCGTGGCAATCATGCCCATCCCCGGCAACCTGTCGTCAAGCAGCCCCGACCTGCTGCACCCGGCCGCCAGCGTCCTCGACTTCTCCAACCCCGCAGGTGAGAAGAAACTCAAAACATCATGAAGGATGTCTCTTTTTTTTTTCTTTTTTTGCATTTTAAGAAAATATTCCCAAAGTATACATAACAAAATAAACACATCTAGGTACATAGATGAACTACATAACAGATGACAAATCCGAAAAGAAATAATACAATAATATTAATAAAATTATTACAAATAAAAGAATGGATACATTATTAATACTCAGGTATACATTAATTATATTCATTATATTGTTCTATACTTGACCCGTTTTTCCCACCTTTCCTCAAAGATATACATTTGGTTTCTAATTCTCATCTTTCCCATTAAATAGATTTCATTTACTAGGTTATTCCATTGTGAGTTTACTAAGTTATCATCTCAGCCAATTCCTTGTAATTTGTTTGATGATCGCTATTCTAATTACCAGAAATAGGTACGAATCTTTTTTTTGTATTTCCTCTGGTGTTTTCCCCAGTAATATTTTGGGTTCTTGTTGAGAGAAATGCCGAAGATATTGGAAATGTCTCTTAAAACTGTTTCCCAGACGTCTCCCAACACATTACAGGGATGACTCTTTATTACTAATCTTAACCAGAGCATTTAAAGGTTTGTTGAATAATCCTTTTGAACATTCACCTTGGGAAAAGCACAGCCACTCCAACATTTTAATAGGATTGAACCAAACACGACAAACTCAGAATTTCTGAAAAACCTCAGAAAAAACGCCATGTTCTTTGGATGTTACAACGCAGGGATAGAACCACTTTCATCACACTCAGTCGCAGTTGCTCTTGACTTTCATGACCTCATTTCAGGTTTCTCAGTCAAACAATTTAGTGCTTATTTCCTGAAGTTGTTTGTCATCCTTGGCCTTGTTGAACAGTGAAAGCCACTTGTTGAGTAAAGGACTCCAATGCTCAGTGAGCGCTGAGAGACGCTGTGCACACAACCTGTCATCCTTGAACATAATCGCATAAAGCAGTCATATGAGAAGTGTACTGTTGGTTAGTCTGGAATGCAAACTCTCTGTCTTTTATCTTTTTTCCTCCTTGAAATACCGACAAACTCCTCAAAAATACTCCAAAGGAACATGCCCTAAATCACCTTAAGCAAGTCACTGGAGGTTTCTAGCACAGTTGTACACACACTTTCTCACACACACACACACACACACACACACAGTTACCCAGGGGTCTTTTTGCACTGCTGTTGCAGAATTGTGTCCGTCGGAAAAGGATTAACCTCCTGGACTATAAAACGTATTTATTCCTTTCCTGTCAGGAGGGTTCCTGCACCCGTTATTATTGAGACTAACATGGAGCGCTCCCTGTGGATATGTGTGTGTGTTTGTGTGTTGAGGGGGATGAAATATTGAGAGGGGAGAACAAGAAAGAGAAAGTGGAAAGGTGAAATAGAGGGAGAGAGTGAATGTATTCCTGATTTATCCCACCAGCCATTTGTCAATGAGCTACACACACTCAGACAGGCGCACACACCCACATACACACACTTGCATGTAGATTTGTGGTTGGTAGGCTATACATCACATGTGGTCGTTGTGTACTAGAGTACAAACACGCACCAACTGTGGCACATAAATCATCCGCCATTAGATCAGCTTTCCTTGCGTCCTCTGGCTTCCCATTAGATTTAATGGCAGGGCAGCCTTCTTAAATACAACGTTTCAGATGCTTTAAAGAGCTTTTAGTGCCACAAAAATCCTACCTATAATTAAATTAGCATATGGATCAGAATAAATATAAAATCTTGATATCTCGATTAGATTTTTTTATGGAGTTAGACAACTCTTGGGTTGTTTTCAAGTGCTTTTTAGGTTTGTTTTTTTATCTTAGCTTGTCGCTAATCTGTTTCCTTGTCATTGTGTGGCAATTATTTGTCTTGTCTGATCTAGTCTTACTTTATTTGACAGTCTAATTCAAATGAACTTGTATGAACATAGCTTGTAATGTACTTCAAAGTAAGCAATGGATGGTTTGTAAACAAATCAAAAAATTGTTTTGCCGATATGGATCAATTTATTAAGTATTTACATTTGTCTAAAGCACAGATTCTCTGGTTCAAGCTTCTCAAATAGGATCGTTTGCTATCTTTTTCTGTCCTATTGAACTTTACATGTATTATCCCTGAGTGTTGATGGTTTGGCTAAAATAGTAAGCAATTTGAAGACAGCTCCTTGAGTTATGGGACATTTTATGGACTGAAAGATGAAACAATGGATAATGATAATGAAAATACTCTCTAGTACATTCCTAATTCAGACAAAATATGTGTCTTTGTGTCTTCTCAGTGAAGTTGCACTCTCAGATCCTCTGTTTCTGTATATCCTACTTTTTCTTTTGGCTCTTTCCCTCGCTCCTTTTGTATCTCTCTTGCTGTGATTTTTAGCAGATGTTATAGTGTAGGAATTATGAGTCACACTCCTCCCCTCTGGTTTCCCATGAACAGATTAAGGCTACAGTAGAAAATCCACTGGTCTTCCCCCCTATTGTTTGTCAAATCTGCCACAATGTTTCCAGGAACTGTCTCTCTGTACTCCTCACACACTCTTTCTTCCGCTCATATTCACTGTGATTTCTCTTTCTCCTTTCTGCTTGCCAAGCTCTGGGACTCTACTGTAAGTATACACATCTTCAATGCAAAAGTCTGAATGTGTTTCATAACAAATTGATCCCCAAAGTCCCCTCCATCTTGACTGTTTTGTCCTTTAATCCATGATCTCTTTTCCCCCTACCCAATCTTCACATGTCTGCATTTGTACCACTACTATTCTTGTGAGAACATAAGAGTTTCTCTCTCAAAAAAAATCAAACTACTACAACCAGTTCATTTAAGTATTTGTGACCACAAGACAGTGATCAATTTGATTCCGTTGACATATTTCTTGATTGCAATCAACATTATTATGGATGGTTAATAAACACCAACAGATTGCATTTAAGTCCCACCTTATATCAAACTGTATGTTTTTCTTCTCCAGGATACATATCTGCTCTATAAATCACATATGCTGTTACCTAAAGAAAGAAATTCATATTTGATATATATATAAATAGTTTTTATTTCATGATGGTGCCCCCACTGTTTTAATTATTAAAAAAAAAGTGAATTCCCAGTCTACTTAAATTGAGAACTTTCACCAAAAGGGACAATCAAATTGCTTCATTCCAAACCATATTTCCATTAGGCAGCAATCACGCCGTCCTATCATAGGCTGTCTAACAGACAAACAAACGTTCTCCAGGGAAAAATGCTAATGGCAGTGTTTCAGGCTATACAGTTAATTAGTTCCTCGGCTGCAGCACGTTAAACAGCATGTCCTGCAAACGTCACTCAGGCCAGGTTCGATTCTGAGGAGGGCCTCAATCTTTAACACCACTAACCACATATTGTCTGCCCACTGCTTGTAAGCTACAGGGCAAATGTGTTTACTTTGTCTCAGCACTGCTGCGGGAGGAAGAGTTATCCCACAGGCTGCTGTCAATCACACACTGACTCCGACACACCCTTCCAGCCACTGACACAAGAAGGAGCTAAAAAGAATATGGCACCTAATGAGGCCATATGGATTTATAGTGTGTGTTTGGAAGGCATGAGTAGTTTCAAGCTCTGGCTACAGAATAAAGAAAAGATCCATTGTTGGATTTAGTTTTTTCAGTAGTTTTGGTTGAAACAATAAAACATAAAATAGCTCTGAGGCTCGCACTATAGAGGAAATATCCGAATAAGAAATCCTTTATTCGTCCCACAGCGGGGATATTTACATAATTACAGCAAAGGGGACATTGCAGATAGAATGTGTAGATTTACGTTAAATGTGCATCAATAGAACTTTTCTAATTGAGTGTATTTCTCCGAGCTCTGGTGTTAACTCCAGCTGCTCTGCTCCCTCTCCTCTCCACACCTCCGGCTCTCACGCCCTGCACTCTGCTGCTTTGTATGCTTTCTCGCTAGATTTATGTCTTCCGACTGTATGATGGAGTGACTGGGAAATGCTTTGGCATCGAAGGGCGAGGAGTAAACTGAGGCTTGTGGGAAGTGTTTTGCCTCTTTTAGTGCTGTGTTTGCAAAAAACCCAGGAAGACATTTTTTTTTCCCTCCTGTGTAGAATTCCCCTTTGGCTTCAGACCATGAATACACTCTCTGCTGTTGATGAAAAATAAATGATACTTTAATAAAGGTGATAATTGATTGGATGTTTGGCTGCATGGGCAATGATTGTCCTCCTGTGTGCAGGTCAGGTTGCAGCTCATCCAGAGGATTAAACATGATTAAGCCCCCCGGATATTATAGCCAGCTATTTAGCCCAGAGCCTCCCACACTTTAATCACAAATCAAAGCTAATGAGACACAAAGCATTTAGCCTCCTCTCAACCCTCCATCGCCACTGTGCTGCACATAAACAGAGAGGAGCTTTGAGACTGCAGCAACACAGAAAATTACACACATATTCCTGTGGTGCAATATTTGTAGGTTTGCTTTTAGGAATCAATGCACTCATTGCCTTCTTCAGGCAAACAGTCAGTGATCATTTCACTTGTCATATTAAGTGCATATGTCATGTGATTTAAATCAATAAGCTCCCAGTGCATAGAGAGATCATTCATAACCAAGATTGGCCATATCAAAACATCAATATGTTGACATTGAAAGGAACCAATGACTGCAAAATAGAAAAGTTAAATGACTCCATTAAACAAAGCAGGGGTGCTTGAAGAAATAAGGCGCTATAACTATGCATTGAAAATAGACGTATAAATAAACAATTTATATGTAAATAATCTGCCAGCTGAAATTGCAGAGGACAAACATTTGTGTTCCTTTTATATAAATAGAAAATGTACATTCTTGTCAAATTCGCAACACAGAGAAAAAGAAACAGAAACCAACAGCAACATGGTCACATCCAAACTGAACTTCCCTTCAAATATCCTCACTTCTTTTATTCATACATCAAAGATATTGAACATGCAGGGAATCCTGTACACACACAGTTGTCTTTAAACAAGCCGAGCTGATTTATCATGAGCATTCACTCTGACACTATTGTTATTGGTCTTGCCTTCAGCTATTTGTTTCTTCCTATTGCGCTCCAGCTCTTGTCATTAAACACACACACACACACACACCGAAAGATCCCCAGAGTCAGATCAGACAATGGCGATGACTTTAACCCTTCTCTGCCTGGTTAACAGGAAGAAATGACTGTTATTTGCATTCAAATCAATTTGAACAAGTCCAACTCAGCCTTTGTATTTCTGTAGATGCTTAGGTCTCTTCATGATCCCCTTCCAATTTCAGTTAATGTTATCCAACTTAACACACACTCTCTCTCTCTCACACACACACACAGCAGTATGACAGCTTTATCTGGTCTGTCGGTCTCCCTCTCCACTTGTCTCCGTGCAGCGTCCATGACTCATTGTTTCAAAGCTCCTTCGGCTGCCTGTGGCTAATGGGCCGTACCCTCTTCCTTACTCAAACACAGCGATCTTTAATGCAGTGTTTGACTCAGGGGAGACGTTTCCATTATTTACCACCATGTGAGTCGCGTGCAGCTGCTCCAGCTCCATCACCACTAACATTCAAGCTTTTATTTGTCCCTCTTAATATTGAACATATAAAATAAATACTAATCTAGTACGGCAGCTTACATCATTAGAGAAGACGCACTTTTATTCTTGTTGATTTTTATTTAATGAATTATTCACTTCTGCATTCATTGCTTTTTAATTGCTATATTACATAATACGTTGAAGATAATGATTCAAGTTTAAATTATTAATAACATTAAGAAGAATGTGGGTTTAATTGATTTTCTTTTGTTCATCTGTAAGTCTTTTACGATCTTAAATTACTCTTTTATTCTGTCTAATAATAGTTTTAAGTTAAGCGAAATAAGTGACAGGAATAGATTGTTATTCCTAACTCAAATGTTATTATTACATAGCAAAACAAACCAAAGAACAATGCGTCACAACACCTAAACGAAGTTAGAGAGGATAATGTGTAGAAGTCAAGGTTTAACATGTATTTGATTTAACCTTCAAGCATGTTTGCTGTAAGATTCCTGCTTCCTCTACCATTGTTATGCAGCTTAAAGAATGTTTCCTTTTCCTTTCTAAGTGCATGCGTCCTTGTTTTTCTGTCTTGCTTAAGCTTTAGTGAGGCTCAAAAAGGTTCAAGTGTAAATGTGAAAGATGCTTTGTAATTGATCTTGCTGTGGGTACAAATAGCCCCAGGTTTGTGTTGATGCACAGTATAAAAACAAGTCAAAATCTGTGTTTTCTGTACTTTTATATGTGTGCATTGTCATTTCCGCAGCCTTGTAGAGTTCTATTACATAACACATGTCAATTATGTTATCAAACTATTGTAGAGATGTTGCAGTTGGAAGACAAATATCAATAGAGCCATCATGCTAGTCTACTAGAAAATTGGCTTCAATGAAAGACTGACTGAATTTACAGCCAGGCTGGAAAGTAGATAAAGAAACAGTGTTATGATTTGACTGGAGAGTAGGATAATTGAGTCATGCCATTGCTGAATGTAAATACTTGGATATGGTGAATTTCATTTAAAAGTAAGTTACTGTAACACCAGAAACCATTGTGTCTTTGTTTTGGTTTTACACCAAGACGTCTTGGCAGGAGAGGTGCCCGCTCAGCAGATCTGCTCACAGTAGAAGAAGTCTTGTCACTTGAAACCCTCCATAATGTAATGAAAATAGAATATGGAAACCATAACCTAATAGCATTCCATGCACTGCTCGGGCTGACCACATTTAGTAACAATCACATTATTGGTAGATTACCCAGACAAAGATAAATGCCAAGAATGACAAAAATGCTTTTAAATGAGTGTTTTATTGTCGTAGACTTCATTCCATTTAGTTGTATTGCATTATTGACATATGTTACAGTATTGGCCTTCAGATACAGTACCCATCAACTCAACTGTAATTGGTCACTGACAACTCTCCTCTTCTATTTCCTCTTCGCTCTCAGATATCCCAGACCAGGTGATCCGGGTGTTTAAGGCCGACCAGCAGAGCTGCTACATCATCATCAGTAAGGACACCACCGCCAAGGATGTGGTCTCACACACTGTCAACGAGTTTGGCCTGGTGTCAGCACCCGAGACCTACTCCCTGTGTGAGGTGTCAGTCAGCCCGGAGGGAGTCATAAAACAGCGCCGCCTCCCCGACCAGCTCTCCAAACTGGCTGATCGGATCCAGCTCAACGGCAGGTAGGAAACACACACATTATTCTGGAAAATCTCATACCGAGAACTGGTTGACTGGTGCTTTAATAATAATAATAATAATTCATTACATTTTCATTAGAGCGCTTTTCCAAATGCTCAAACCGCTTTACATTATATATTACACATATTAGACATGTAACAGTTACTACTGTGGACAATACCCACAGGAGCAAATTAGGGTGAAGTGTCTTCTAACCCTAACCCAAATTAGGGTGAAGTGTCTTCTAACCCTAACCCAAATTAGGGTGAAGTGTCTTCTAACCCTAACCCAAATTAGGGTGAAGTATCTTCTAACCCTAACCCAAATTAGGGTGAAGTGTCTTCTAACCCTAACCCAAATTAGGGTGAAGTATCTTCTAACCCTAACCCAAATTAGGGTGAAGTGTCTTCTAACCCTAACCCAAATTAGGGTGAAGTATCTTCTAACCCTAACCCAAATTAGGGTGAAGTGTCTTCTAACCCTAACCCAAATTAGGGTGAAGTATCTTCTAACCCTAACCCAAATTAGGGTGAAGTATCTTCTAACCCTAACCCAAATTAGGGTGAAGTGTCTTCTAACCCTAACCCAAATTAGGGTGAAGTATCTTCTAACCCTAACCCAAATTAGGGTGAAGTATCTTCTAACCCTAACCCAAATTAGGGTGAAGTGTCTTCTAACCCTAACCCAAATTAGGGTGAAGTGTCTTCTAACCCTAACCCAAATTAGGGTGAAGTGTCTTCTAACCCTAACCCAAATTAGGGTGAAGTATCTTCTAACCCTAACCCAAATTAGGGTGAAGTATCTTCTAACCCTAACCCAAATTAGGGTGAAGTGTCTTCTAACCCTAACCCAAATTAGGGTGAAGTGTCTTCTAACCCTAACCCAAATTAGGGTGAAGTGTCTTGCCCAAGGACACTAAGCCTAAAATAGTGGTTTTAGTCGTCTATACTGTGTGTTTCTGTGTTTGCAATTGAAAGTACACAAGGCAACAAACAAGAACACTAAAATAAACTAGAAAGCAACACTATTTCATGCTAAGGGAAGCATATTGGTCATGGATAAAATGTTGGGCATGCATTTATAGTGGATCCACTGTAGGGAATTGGACAAAAGGCAGCTGGAAGCAGAACAGAACATTTGTGAATTTATATGTTGCGTTGAAGTCTTGAAAGACCCACTGAGATTGAATTTTAAACCAGAATCCTGCAACATGATCCTTCCTTTTTTTTGTCCTATTATATTTGAATGGGTTCGGATTTACGGAAGACCACACAGAGCTCAGAACTTGATACGACTACTGCGAGTTTGTTCTGTTAATAGGCTACACTGTGCAAGAGTTTAAGGTGATGTCATATCTTCCTACTAACAGACTTCACACCATACAACAGTTTGTACAACACGTATATATTGATTCACTTCTTGTAGAGCAGTGGTTCTCGATGCTGCTGCTGGTGATACAGGGTGCTACTCTGTGATGTGATTATTCAGTGAACATTTCCGAGGTGTAAATGAGTTTCTGAGTAAGTGGCTCGACTGCAGCCAGCGGGACTCCAGGTGCTGAGCAGCAGGATGAAGAGCCACTGTCCTAGTTCAGTCAAAGGATAAATCAAGTGGTATTTTCCCCCTTAAAAAGTGTTGGAGAACATCTTAAGCTGCTACTCCTAACATAACACATGCTGGCGTTCCTTAAATAAAGAAAAACAACAGTTTAGATGCTGGTTAAGGGATATTTCATAACGCCAAACCATCAGGGATGATACATTTCTGTTGTGTTTCATCTTGAAAAGGTTCACTTTATTGGCGACTTATCTCCACATAGTAGGTGGAACATTTAAGGACACTTTGCGCCATTGCTAGTTTGTTTTTTTCCCATCCCTCTGTCATCTTGATGGCTGATATATTCCCTTTTAAGATGAAAGTTAGTGGGACATAAAGGGTAATTGGACCGCGGCCGTGAAGTCTGCTTTAAAACGGCTCCTCGGCCTGCTTTGTCACAGTTCTCTCCCCCTCTCCTTGTCTCCCGTGGTCCCCCGTCAGTCCTCTCCCAACTAGGTTAGCATGAATATTTCATCCTCTGTCAGGGGCGGAGGCCTCAGCAGACAGCATGGCCCGTCTGGAATCATTCATAAACACACTCAAATGCACACAGGCACATACAAAGATATGAATGCAGACAGCCCCCCTCCCCCCCCCTCCTAAACACAGTCACGCAGCCATCCCATCCATACCCATATAGTCATGCAAACTGCCTGTTTACACGGCAGTACTTTTTTGCATTCACAGACTTTATTTACATGCATCTATACACACACACACACACACACACACACACTCTTACCAGGGAGTCCTAGCAGACACCTATGGACACACACTTTCAGAGGGCACTTATGGGAACACTTTCCCGTGTTCCTGATGGATGGCGGGGCTGCAGTGGGAAGAAATTGCCCTTCAGTGAGAGATTGGTTAGAAGAAAGCTGGTAGATAGCTCCTCTCTCTAATACTTATCTCCTTACTTTCCCTTTTTCCCTCTTATCTCTGCGCCATTACTGACATGTCATTTTTGTCAGTATTTTGATATACAAACACATAACGCAGTGTCAGCAGGATGTTTGCATACTCACAGTGGATGTATTTATCAGGAGTAGTACATATATAGAGACTTGATTTTCTCTCTCTGTGTCTCGCCTCCTCCTCCTCTCCCTCACTGCAGCTGATGATTGACAGGCAGGCTAACAGGGGATGGGACTAGCCAATAGCAAGCCTTGTTCACACAGCCCAAAAACATATAGATGCTGCTAGGAGACATAATGCTCAGCACACACACGCACCACCATAGTCTGTTTTTAAATGGCTTGGCTCCAGTGACTCTACCTCACCATTTAGTCTCATCTCCTCTCTATATGTGCAGGAATATACAGCTCTGGAAAAAACACTCCACATTTTTCTTGAATCTCAATCTCTACATGCATGGCAGCCATTCCATTCCAGTGTCGGTTGAATTCCAACACAGAGAAATGTTGTCAGTAGTTTATAGAATAAAATGTAAAATAATTCATTTGACAGGTTTAACACATACCTATAAATAGTCAAACCAGAGAAACTGATAATGCTGCAGTGATCTCTAAATGTTTTCCAGAGCTCTATATTTTCTATATCATGATTTTAAAGGTTATTTTATGTAATTAGAATTACATTTTGAAATGTAGGCCTAAGTCTCCTGTCCACTTGTGTCCTCTTGTTTCCTCATTTCTCATCTCCTCTTATTTCCTTTTCTCTCTTCTTGTCTCCTTTCGCCCTTCTCTCCTCCCCTCTTGTCTCCTGTTCTCTACTTTATCTTGTCTTGTCTCCTCTCTACCTTCTCTCCTCTTGCCTCATTTCCCATCTGTTATTCTCAACTTATCCTTATGTTATGTGTTCTTAAATGGGTCAAATCTAAATCTGTTATTACATCCTTCAACAACATGCATACTCTAATCTGCTTTTGAGCTCCGAAACACCTCTTATGCTTTAACTTAAATGTAAATCTACCTTGATCTTCTCACCTCACGTCCTCACATCTCTTGTTAGCTGCTCTTCACTCAAAGACAATTTAGTGTCACAACCCATGCCAACACTTTGCCCCTGGGGGCTGCAGGTCTAGGTGCTGAGGAGCAGGATTCCTAGATGGCCAAATGACATCTCCATTAGAGTGGAAGTGTGGGAGGGGGGGGGGGGGGGGGGGGTTTGGGGGGGTTCACACATACTGGAAAAACATAACAACATAAGAGGGATGGCCTGCTGTTGGAAGCACTCGCAGAAAACTCATGCACCTGTCGTCTTTCTTACCGCTCTTTTGCTGAGAGCTCATCTCTCCTCTCCTTCTTTACCGCAGGGTAAACTATAACTGTAAGCTTTATTTATCTGGTGCTAGAAAACCAGATGGTGTCCACCCACCTGTCTGCCTCTGCAGCCTTTATTAAAGCATCTGAGGATACTGCAAAACTAACTGCATCGGCTCTAAGAAATACTCTGAGATAGCTTAGACATAAACATTCCTCTTATTATGTTTTTAGTTATCAAATATCATACACTTTTACGATAACTTGTTAGGAAAATGACTATAAATATAGTTTCTAAACACCTTTATTTCATGCAGTATCGTGTCAAGTGCACTGAAGAAACTGAAACCATGATTTTAATTAAATGTATTATGTCATACCAACCTAATACAGTTATGTGAAATCTGTTGACATTAACATTTATTAAAGTAATTTTTTCCGTTTTGTCATTGTGACACTCCACAGCAGTATCCACTCGATAATAATCTAAACTATATCCCTCTATTCAAGTTTTCTGAACTGTTAAACATTATCAAAGCCGGGACAGTACTTTCACTTGATCGTATTGCTCCAAATCCAACATCTTATCCTCTGTCCCTCTGTCCTCCTCCCCCGAAGGTACTACCTGAAGAACAACATGGAGACGGAGACGTTGTGTTCGGACGACGATGCTCAGGACCTCCTCAGAGAGAGTCAGATCACTCTGCTGCAGCTCAGCACCATGGAGGTCGCCGCCCAGCTGTCCATGAGAGACTTTGAGCTCTTCAGGAACATCGAGTCCACAGAGTATGTTGTCATCTAACGTTTAAATTGGCTTACAGCAGGAAGAGTACCTTATTATGACTGAAAAACCATATTAGTGTTGCAGTTTCAAATCATAGGATGCCTTACAATCGACAAAACGAGACAAGCTGAAACATATGTGTCATATTTTCCCCTGAACTAAAGAAACCCAGATTGTTGGACTCTTTTGAAAGTATTTTAACTTCTTTGTGCTGGTTCCCAGATATGTGGACGACTTGTTTAAACTGGACTCGTCGCTGGGAAGCGGTAATCTGAAACAGTTTGAGGAGGTGATAAACCAGGAGACCTTCTGGGTGGCCACGGAGATCCTGAGGGAGCCCAACGCCCTGAAGAGGATGAAGACCATCAAACACTACATCAAGATCTCCCTGCACTGCAGAGAGTGCAAGAACTTCAACTCCATGTTCGCTATTATCAGGTGGGTTCAGGGTGTGTGTGTGTGTGTGTGTGTGTGTGTGTGTGTGTGTGTGTGTGTGTGTGTGTGTGTGTGTGTGTGTGTGTGTGTGTGTGTGTGTGTGTGTGTGTGTGTGTGTGGTGTGTGTGTGTGTGTGTGTGTGTGTGTGTGTGTGTGTGTGTGTGTGGTGTGTGTGTGTGTGTGTGTGTGTGTGTGTGTGTGTGTGTGTGTAGTGTGTGTGTGTGTGTGTGTGTGTGTGTGTGTGGGTGTGCGCTTCCTAAATGAAGTGCGGTGACACGTTCTTTCATCATTTGCCCCATTTGCCTCAGTTGCAGCAGACAGGGTTCTCGTTCTGTGATGACAGGCAGCATTTACCCCTAGCAGCTATCGTGCAAAATGAGCTTTGCCCTGATTTTCCCCAAACCACACATTCTGTCTCTCCAACCCTACAGTGTTCAAAACACGAGTCCCATAGCAACGTTTACACTTATTGTTTGTTGCTAGTGTTATTCCCTCTGACTTCTGTGGTTTGGCTTCACATGGCTTTCAGACTGAGCTGATGATTTATGTACTTAGTCCCTTAAGGGGGTAGAAACCAACATTAGGGAGCACCATCAGTGTGTTTTAGGGATAGACTTGGGCATGTGATTATGTTTCAGCTCAATATCTATGTCAATGTCTAATCAGGAAGTTGGGAGTGTGTGTGTTTGGTCCCAGACCAAAGAGTAATTATTCAGAAACAGCACGTCATGCTCTTGCTGCAGCTTCACCCGGTTGCTTAAGTTGTTAATGTTGCAGTGTGCTCTAACCTATACATAATCATAAGAGGGTATTGTATTCATTGTTACTGCAGCATTTAAATGTAAAAGCATGAAGATGCAGTTCTGCAATAACCGTCACTGTGTTATTTCTGTATATTAGAAGAGATTATCGTTTGGAAAATACATAATGTACTTGCCATAGCTCAAGCTAATTTGGGTCATGTGGTACCACATCTGGAGGACAGTGACCCTCTGTTTGCTGCTGTAGAAGACACTTCAGAGCAGAAGGGTCTGACCTCCATGTCCCTTTACACTCCTCCTCACAGCAGGAGCTCTTCGCACATATGGCTCTCTGATGCATAACCTGCCTGCTGACAGGGACAGTGCTGCTGCAAGTGTGTGTGTGTGTGTGTGTGTGTCTGTGTGCGAAAGAGATAGAAGAGATATAATGCAGGGTTTCCCAATGGGTTTTTATTGGACTGGTGATAAACTGAGAAATAAAGATAATTCAATATATGGATTGGGATAAAAGAAGGTATTCAGATTATAAAAACAAACCTGGTTCAATTTATATTACTAATACCAGATTGACCATTTAAATACATAGCCATGATCATCCCAATGTATAATACTCATGTTATAGTCCTACTGTATGACAAACAAGATCTATACTCTTCCAGAAGAAATCAAACATATATATACATCAATATACCTTGCAAAACGAAAGTGAAGAAAACCCAAATGGTGCAGATGATGAGCGAGGGAGAGGAGCTGGAGAGATGATGAAGTGAGAGCAGAAATAAATGCAGTGCCAGTCATAATTATTAGCTGTCTAAATGAGTCTGCTCGGAGATGACATTGCCTTAAGGGGGTCTCCCGCTCTGGAAAATGGAGACCTCGCTAAGTGAAGATGATTTAAGTAGAGCTAGTAATTGTTCGGATGTCAGTATTGGGTTTTGATTGGGATGTAAATTCACACTAAAACTCCTTTCCTCTTTCTCCTCTACCCTGCTTTCCCCTCTCTCCGACTTTCCTCATTTCTACCTTTGTCCTCCCCCTCCCTTTTTCCCACCGTAACCCATTTATCTATCCTCCCTCCTCCCTCCTCCCTCACGTAGCGGGCTGAACTTGGCTCCCGTGGCTCGGCTGCGCAGCTCGTGGGAGAAATTGCCCAGTAAGTACGAGAAGCTGTTCGGAGACCTGCAGGATGTCTTCGACCCGTCCCGGAATATGTCAAAGTACCGCAATGTGCTGAGCAGCCAGAGCATGCAACCTCCCATCATCCCCCTGTTCCCCGTCGTCAAGAAGGACCTCACCTTCTTACATGAAGGTATATGGCTTTGTGGAGGGCATTTCTTCTTCATTTCTGCATTCTGATACAAACATGTTGCTACATTTAGCCTTGGCCTATCAACAGACAGTTTCTGAAACTTGATATGTCATCCTGCACGGTTTAATTTCCCCTAGTTCCTCCGTGTTGCGCGGAAGGTCAATTTCAGTCTCACTCAGGAGGTTTACTTCTGCTAAAGGCTTCCCCATCTTGACTTTTCACATATCAAGTCAGGTCAAAGATACCCAGGCTGAACTCTTCTTAAAGCTTTATAATAAAAAAAAAAAGGCAAGTTAGAAGGTTTCCCTAATTGTGCAAGTTGCCCAAAATTCTCAAATGGCCCAGCACGACTCGATATGAAAGAGCACTTTGATCTCCTAGAGGACTGACAAGAAAGAGACCAGAACAAAGAGATTTTCACTTTGAAGTTTTGACTTAGAAATACTGTTGCAAGTTAAATCTTGCAAATGTCCCAAAATATAAATCATTCGTCATCTTAACACCTTAAGGGCTGACCTCATGCTCATTGTCTGTGCTTGTGTGTGTGTTGTCCTCCCAGGCAATGACTCCAGTGTCGACGGCCTCGTGAACTTTGAGAAGCTGAGGATGATCGCCAAGGAGATCAGACACGTGGTGCGGCTGACCTCGGCCAACATGGACCCCGCCCTCATGTTCAGACAGAGGTTGGTTGCTTTCACACCAAGATGCTTCAAAGCCTTTTTCTTCTCAATTTGTACCGACATTTGCTTTAACCGATGCTGTTGGAGCCAGTTTCACAGATACAGGTCACTTGGAGCTGTTTTAAATCACCAGTATCCCCTCTTTGCAGCTTTAATAAGCTTTTTCACAAAAGTTTCAATTAAGCCAGCAAAACTGATAACTGCCAGTGAAAATGTGCATTTTGAGCGTTTTTTTTTAAGAAAGTGAATTGGGAAATAGAGCATCATTTGAATTTTGTGGCTCAAAAATCATCACAGGGTCTGATGAACAGTTGATTTGCGTTTCAAATGATTTACTGTCAGCGAAATTGTCAATGTTTTGTGGTGTAGTAAATATACCTAATTTTAAATATGTGTATCTTTGAAACAGACTCTTCCTGTTTCAGCCAGACTGTTACAAAACTGTCACTTCTGAGGAAGAGTCATGAATGCAGAGAGTATAGGGAGGTGGAATAGAGGTTTTTAAATAGACACCTTCACTTCTACTTTACTACAATGTGATTTGAAAGGGGAACCACTACACCTTACCTCCACCAACCACCCTGGATCCCTCACCACCACTCGAGGTCTTGCTCCATCAATTCACTCTCACTTCCTGTCTGCTCCATGGCTCTTGTTGGCTCGATTGCTTTCCTCAGACAAAAGGCATGGAGAGACTGGAAGGGGAGGGGGAATTGATGCCAACCGCAGTGTGTAGTTGGTATCACTCAGTGTGTGTGTGTGTGTGTGTGTGTCACTACTGCGGTGCATGGCTGCCCTCTGCAGACACTCCCCTCACACTACAAGCTCAAGATATCTCCTTTTTACACTATGTCATAATTGAAAAAAAGTTTGAAACGACCTGTTTTCACGAGAGCGCGATGCACAAGGCCGTCCCTCACACTCTTCAGGTTGATATGGGGAGAAGCCATATGTCTAATGTCCTCCCATCTTCAGTCATTTTCTGTTTGTCTGTGGTGGCATGACCTCTACATAGTCTTGTCCCCCCCCCCCCCCCCCCCCCCTCGACCCCCTAAACTTGTCTAAAAGTCACGCTTCAATCTTCACACCTCTTGCTTTCAGGAAGAAGAGGTGGAAGAGTTTAGGGTAAGTGTGTCCTGGTACCGGGTCCATCCTGTTCCGGACCAGCAGAAATTCAATCCGCCCTGCATCCCCGCCACCACCATAAACTCTGCATGTCCCCCCCCTGTTTCTTTATCGTGTCCATGTGTGTCCGCCTGCGCCTGTGTGCGATTAACCCTTCATTTGCAGTTCTGAACCATCCTGACGTCCATCGTTTACCCATTCATTGTTTTCCCTGTTCATAAGATTTGTATGCCTGAGTCAAATAGGAGCTTGGAATAAACCCTCAGTGTTTGTTGAGACACATTCACATAATGAAAAGAAGTAAAACAAATATTTAAAATTAAATATTTCTAGTGTTTACTGCCATGTGATTTGTCCTTATACACGCATACAATTTAAAAGAGCAGAAAATAAGAGACAACACACTTTACAGACAACAAAACCAACAAATAGTCCCAGAGAGGTTTTTTTATGATGCACATTGTACAATTCAAATGAGATAATGATATTTAAATATGTACATTTTATCAAAAATGTAATTGTCCCAACAATCTCACCTCAAGGTCAATCCATCACATATTTGAGACCTTTTTGATCATATCCATAGGTCTATACATTTTCAAGTTTCTATATTTTCTAAGCCTTTTGGGGACTTCTTGTCCATGTTGCTAAGTTGTTTTTGTTTGGAAACAGTATTACAGAATTGCTTAATGAAAAGTCAGATTAGCCACAAAATGAAATGTAAACGTATCAAGGCAACATGGACAAGAATGAAACAAGTAACACGACTGGCTCCAGAACCATAATTAAAAGGACCTTTAGGTGACATTGTGTTGTCAGCTGCTGATCGCAAGTTCAAAAATGAACCATTTATAGACTTTATATATATATGTATGAACCGCCATCCATCTACAAAATAAGTAAAGAAACCTATTTGACTCAGGTTTGGTTGTTTGTCCATATTTGCATCCTGGCATAATATTCCCCATATCTGAACTTGTGCATCTTTTGTTCCCTAACCCTTTTTGCCTCCATCTGACAGAATGTTCTGTGATAGCATGGCCCACCAGCGAGAGCTGCCTCCCCCCCAGTTGCATGGTCCCGTTTTAAAATGCTATGCCCCAACACAAAGATAGATTTGATAGTAGAGTAGGTATTTGATGAGAAAATATATGGGCCTGTTTTATCTGCGATTGTACTTATTGTTGTTTTCCATTCTCTCCTTCCTTCCTTTTTCTGTCTTTAAACTTTCATGTTCATTTATCTTCCTCTATTCTTAATCTTTCTTACCCTTTTATCTTCTGCCCATCCATCAACACTTTCTCCATTACTCTCACCTCCACACCCCAATGTCTATCTTTCCCTCTCCTTCATTTTCTTTGTCTCTTTCCTTATTGTCTTCTTCCCTTCCTCCCTTCCTCTTGCTTCCTCTCTCTTCTCCTCATTAGGTCTCTGAGTCAGGGCAGCACCAACTCCAACATGCTGGACGTGCAGGGCGGCGCCCACAAGAAGCGAGTGCGCCGCAGCTCGCTCCTCAACGCCAAGAAGCTGTACGAAGACGCTCAGATGGCCCGGAAGGTGAAGCAGTACCTGTCCAACCTGACGGTGGAGATAGACGAGGAGAAGCATCAGTTCAGCTCCCTGCAGTGTGAGCCGTCCTACAGCACCTGTGAGTAAAGGAAGCCATCTCACTGCCTCGCTGTTTAGCATCAGTACCTTAAGGGTCCAAATATATTCATGTTGCCTGAATTACTTTAGATTATTCATAAATATATCTTTATATGTCAGAAGAGCGTCAATGCCTTTGACCTTTAACCTACCTGGTGTACACACATCAGTAGAAGGACATTACACATATTGCATAATGTATTATAACTCAGAATATATTGATGCTTTATATGTGAGAAATTGAATGCTGGATGAAATGGCAGGTAAAATACATTTATTTAACAATAAAAACAAATGTTTAAGTGGATAATAACTGATCATCAGAGTACATAAAATACTGCAGATACTTTTATTTTAATATCAATGATTGACTTGCACTGCCACCTAGTGTATTTGCAAATGTCCTGCAGAAAATAAATAATGGATTATCATGTAAATCCTCTGCAACATTCAAAACTGAATTGTGTCGCTTTAATCATTATTATATGTGATAATGTTGCGTTTTATCACTGCAAGAAATATATATTTGATGGTTTCTGCTCAGGTCTTAAAGTTCTTAAACTCAAGATAAACATGATATCATTTTAAAAATCAAATTAAGTTAGTTCTTGAAAGGTATACAGATTTAACAAAACAGGTCTCTTACATCTGATGCTTATATTATCTTATCATCCGTTACGCCCTTTAGACTTTAATAGTAATACGGTACAGTAACTAAGAAAATGACCTACAATTGTATTTTGATAATCCATGTCGTGTCTCCCTGTGTTTGCAGTGTCTAAGAACCTGAGTGAGAGACGGTCCACCAAGTCGGACATGTCTCCGGTGTCCCTGCGCTCCGCTCTGCCCTCGGGGAAAGCTCAGAACAGAGTCTCCCAAGTCCTTCAGGTGCAGGTCCCTCTGAACCCTCTCCGGAAGAAGAGCACAGCCAAGGACATCGGCCAACCAAGTGAGTACACCTGCAAGATACTTTTCGATCATCAATATTCTCTATATGATAATATATTATAATTATGATGTCATTTTCATGCTTTCTTGTTTCCTCTTTTGTCTCTTAGCCTTCAACACTCCCCAGGTAATAAAGAAAGCTCCAGTGCCCTCATCGGAGGAGTGGAGCACCAAGAGACCCTCTGATGACACCGTCTCCACCATCTCCTCCCTTCACTCCAGCCCTACGGTGTCGCCTCAGGGCTCCCCGCGAAAAGGTCAGTTCCAGAAACAAAGATTTCCTTCCTGTGTGATTTGATCTCAGGATGAACAAACCTACTTTACCCAAGGCGACGTGTTATTGTAATGTGTTACTCCTATGGTCTAAAAGAGTCAAAACATTTTAGTTAACAGGAACAAATCTCTTCCAAATCCAAAATCTAAAATGCTACATCTTTAAAAATGATACAACGAATAGGGAAACATGTTATAGATGACACTGAGAACACCCAGGGAGATGTTCATTGAGTGTATGGCTACATTTTCTAATCACAACTGAGGACAAAACAAAAGAATAAGTCTTGTTTAGTATAAAAAGAAAAACAAACATTATGTAGGTTCACAAAATCAGCCCCCATTGTCATTCAGTGTCTATTGAACAGCTCCAGACTTAATACTTCCTTCTTTACTAAGAAATGGAAATACAATTTTTAATTTAGGTGGGGTTGCCCTTTAAATATCCAACTATTCCTTGTCCCTTATATTCATCTTCATCTTCCATCCCCCCCCCCCCCCCTTTTTCAGTGGGAGGCGTGGCCAAGTCCCATAACTCCAGCCAGATGAACCTGTCGGGATCTTCCTCATCACTGACCAGCGACGTCAGCACAAAGACGGGAACCATCAGCCTGAGGAGCTACGGCATAGGTGGGGCTGTCCTCCACAAGAGGATCCTACTGATGACCAGGCAGGACAGCCGAGAGAGTAGCAGGGAGAGAGAGAGACAGCCAGAGGAGGTGGAGGAAGAGGAGGAGATGCAGGAGGACACCGTTCAGAGAGGCTTGTTTCCTTCAGAGAGCATGAGAAGGAGATCCAGGCAGGAGAACAAACAGGGGCCAAAATATAAAGGGCAAATGCTACTGAGTGTAAAAGCAGGAAGTCCTACACAGAGAAGGACAGATACTCCCAGTCCTCTCTCCCAGCCCCAGGTAATCAGACCAGGAACCCCAGAGTCCCCCATCAGGACCAGGCTGATGTCCCCGTTCAGGATACTGAGGGAAAGGAGTCAGTCCAGGGAGAGACTCACGGCTGTAGCACATCTTAGAGGTGGGGAGGAAGCAGGAGATGGTGTGTCCTCCTCACCTGACGATGAGAGACAGGGACAGGCAAAGAAAAAGGTCAAGAGGTCGGTCAGCCCCAACCCCTTCCTGTGGCTCTGCAGGGACAGACACACCAGGAGAAAGACCGCCTGACACGTAGAGGAAGAACCGATCAGCGTGTTGTAAATTATGAGAGTGAAGAAAGACAGGATCGAGCCGGTTTCAGAGAGAAAGCATAGCCTGTTAAAGTGGTGTCATTACATGGCATTCATCAAGTGTGACTAGAGAGAAAAGGGTCAAATCCAGTGAGGTTATAGAAAGGTGTGAGAGAGATTTCTCAGCAGACATTTGATGCAGATAAGAAAAATCATTTCAGTTTGTTCTCCGAGTTTGCCCAAAAGTTTCTTTGTTTGTGGGAATAACGTTTCAGGATGTTTTTGCAATGTCATCGTACAGCCAAATTACTTTAAATGTGTAATTGTCAGATCAGACAGCTTATTCACACCAGTATACAATACCTTTTTTTTTTAGATCCGCATTTTAAATGCATTTAATTAACAAAAAATGGTGAATTAATCATTACTTTTTGATAACAAGTGCGGGCTGCAGAACTATTATTGCCACGTTCATTTGTTTTCTCTGCAGTTGGTTCAGCAGATGTTTGTTAGTTTAAGTTTAAACTGTGACCCAACCGCGCCTTCAAAGTAATTTATACACAAAGGTCTCTGTACTTTAACTTGGGCATTACTTATTTCTGAAACCACATGCTATAATGTATTAGTGTTAATAGAAAGTACATGACATACAGTAGAGACAATGAAAGGTGTTTGGATTCTCGTCTGTTATTTTGAGCTATTTGCTATTAAATATGGCACGCAAATGTCAAATTGTCTCCCCATATATATACAGGTGTTTTATATCTTTTCATATTGAAGTGCAGGTAGATTTGAAGTGATGTCAGTATCCAACATTCCCTTCAAAAATAGAAACATGACCAGATGGGTAGATTAATAGGATTTACTGTAATCTCCAGAAGGCGCTATAGGTAAAAAGGTTCTATATTTTAATAAACTGCCAGTTATTTGTCTCTTTTTCCTAATTTTCTCTCCTTGAGTCTTTCCTGTTCCATCCTATGTTCTCTTTCTTTCTTCTTATAATCTGCATATAACTGATAGATGAAATGCTCCTCTCTCCCCTGCCCAGGTTACACTCTCCTTCCAGCGGGTAAAGCAGACAACCTGTCGGACTCCAGTCACAGCGAGATCTCGTCCCGCTCCAGTATCTGCTCGGTGGACTCGGTGCCCCCCCCCGGGCTGGACGACAGGTGTAGCAGCAGCTCCAGGACCAGCTCTGCTGCGCTTGCTGTTACCACAGCAACCACTGCTGCTGCTCCTCCTATTGCTGAGAGCTCAGCAGCATCACATGCACATGTAAACGCTGATTACAACCAGGCCAGCACAAGGTAATTAAATCCTGGTTATCTCATCTGTCAGGTAAAGTTAATGAATTAACGTTGATGAAGAGACTTATACATAAAGTAAATTCCTTGAGTGCTAATCCTTTTTTTCTCAAAATGGAGTTAGCTGACGGCACTCAATTAACAGAGTTACAGTCAGCTTTTGAGTAGTGAGGATTTCTGATTTCCTCAGCTCTGTATCTGATGGAGAATGCCTATTTCTTGGCAATGTGTTTGTATCTGTAAACATGTGCATAACAACAGACTGCAGAAAGGGAAACTAGCGTGTTAGCATGAAGTTCCATTTATCTAGATCACTAGAAATCACTACAAATAGTCGGAGAAATACTTCTAAAATGCAAAATGACTGAACTTAATGAGGACCTACTAGTTGTCTGACAACTAGTGAGTAATTGGGGCTGTAATTATTACTGGGGTTAAGGTTGAACAATCTAAACATATGCCTTCCAGATGTGAATAAAATCACTGACCATCTCGACACAATATTGAAGTCATCCTACTGACCATAAGAGAAATAAATCTTCTCAAAATGTACTAAAGTAGCTCAAAGACAAACGCTTGACTTTGACTCCAGCCACAGGACACACTCAGACACAAGCACTCCTTATTAGAAACTCTCCCCATGCCCAACAAGAGAACATTTCCCCACAGAGGCACAGTCCCTCCACCAGCTGGACCCCCATTATGTCCTTTCCTCATTAAAACTCAGAGAGCAGGAAGTCATAAAACAAGGCAGCTTTTTATTAGCGTCCCACATTTACTGCCCTCCTCGCTCCTCCTTTCCTCTGTTAACTTTTTCTTAACACGGGAAGCTTTTTAATCTGCCCGAGTAGAAGAAACCTTTTTTACTGTGTGCCGTTTGTTTATTATTCCTCCATGATCACGCCTTTCTGCGTCCTAAAGAGGAGTCTTTCAAATATGGCCAGACACAATAATCTGTCTGCTTCTGTTATTATATTCCATCGGCAGCCCTGCTGTAAACCCCCGGTCTGTTTTATGGCTCAATTTCATTGAGTGGCTTGTTTATCCAGTAAAATGTCAGTTCATCAGACGGCTGGTTTATGAACAGCTGCTGAGGAGAACACGTTTTTTTAAAAGCCAAACATAGTGATATGTAATAAAGGAATCAGTGGTAAATATTTGCTTTGTGGTTATGTGCAAAGCAACTGTCTAATTGAGGCATACATTGTACTGACCTGTCATTCATTGTGACAGTATTTTACAAGGGAAACAACATTTTGAATATATTTGTACATGTCTTGCTAAATATCGATTGAAGATTGTGTAGAGACAAATCAGATCAGCTGTGTAACATTGAACTCTTTTTTCTGTTAGCTCCAGTTATTACTGTTTTGTTAGTGCATGACTCTTTGACCTTCAGCAGCTTTTTATAGTTATTGAACCTCCTCTTCACTCTTATTTTATTGCCAGTTCATTTCCTCCACCTTTACCACCACCTTCTATATTATTTTGAAACCCACTTTTCACTTCCTTCTTTCCTTTTCTCTCTTGTATTGATAGTCTTAGCCCTAATTTATTTATATTTTTTGCAAACATTAGTATGTTTAATTAAATATTTAAACTTGAATTACATTACAGAAAAAAGCATAATGCACAACCTAGAGAACAAACAAACAAACCATTTATTGAGGCTGTTCAAATGTAAAGAGTTAGGCTTTAATCATGCATAAAGCAATAAACAGAATACTGCCAGAAAATATACAAAACGAATAATGTTTTCATTTCAGAGGATGAGCATCATAGGAGGAAATTACATTTTAAGCATCAGTTTGCACGTCCTACTTTAAAGCAGATGTGTGTCTCTGTAGTCGGCGTAAAGAAGTGGAATGCTTTGCCGAATGATTTAAAGGGCTGTAAGAACATTTGAATGTTTAAGAAAATGTATAAAGAAAGCGTAATTAGATAGTATGAAGTTGACTTTTGATTGTGTTCTGGTTTTATGTTTCAGTATTTGTAAGCAACTGTGACTGAAAGAATATTGCTTTTAAGAGGGGGCAGGTCAAATAAGATGTTCTTCTCCCTGCTCCTTTCCACCATGCGCTATAAAAAAACAAAACAGTATAAGTGTACATGTTTTATAAAGTGTTTTGTTTTAAAATGTGTGAAATAAATAAATACAACATTTCCCCCACTTTATTTTGAACCCACAGTAGTTCCTCGTCAATGTCTCGAGGATACGCGTATCAAGCCTCCACCTTCTCCTCCTCCATCTCGACGGAGGAGCTGACCCCGGACCACACCTCTCTGGACTCGGTGGGGGACAGCGGGCGGGGCAGCTGGACGTCCTGCTCCTCCAACTCCCACGACTCCTTCCAGAGCCTCCCCCCCTCCTCCTGCCGGCCCTGGGACCACGGCATCCACGGGCACCCGATGGCCCTCCCCCACACACACCTGGGCGGCTTCAAGCACACACACCTGGCCGGCCCCATCGCGGAGGTGGAGGCCGCGGCGGGACACACGCGGGCCAACGAGGACGCCACCAAGCATCACCCGAGACTGTCCAGCTCCGATCTGTCCAATCAGTCGCGGCAGAGCTGGGCGTCGTCCGGCTCGCTGTCGGACACCTACGAGGGGAATTATGGGACGGTGAAGCGGCGAAACACCTCGGAGCACGCCTCCTCTCCCACCAACGAGGAAGGAGGGCAAAGCACAGACCCCGCCTACAAAACCGTGACGTCAAGCACAGATAAAGGCCTGATAGGTGAGGGGGCAGGTTGCCAGTTTGATTCCCTGTAAACATAGTGTGACACGGTCCGCTCGAAGGGTCCCAGTAGAATATCATTCAACTACATTTAAGGCTTGATTAGTAAAGCTGTAAGAGTGCTTACTTTAGACTTCCATGCACTAAAGTAAGTTCAGTCTGCCGTTGTTCTGGAGAAATCACTGCAGCTTTCTGATGCTTGACTTGCTGTTTTAGACTAGTAAAAAGACGGCAAATGCTTATTTAAATCTCCAAAACACATCTCATTGTGCCGATAGCTCTTTTTATGACGTGATCAAGCCTTTTCTTACACATTTGTACTATTGCTGAACATTTTTAAATTAAAAGCAGTAGGGCAGGAGATAGGGCAATGTTGTGTCCACTTTACAAAACAATCAGTCAGTGAATCTAATGGTACATCAAATGTTGATAATCGATCAATCGTTTAGGCCAATCAGTGTCTGCTTCCAGCTTCTCCGATGTGAGATTTTTTTTGTATTGATTACTTTTAGCTAAACAAAACAAGTAATTCCGATCGAATCTCTCACAATTTTCTAATGTTTTTTAAAAACCAAACGATTAATCGATTCAAATAATAGAAAGATAATTGAACAATGACGGTTGTCGTTAGTTGCAGCTGTAGCTCTGTCTGTATCCGCTCCATCTCATTGGTTGTTTATTTTTCCTTTTGATTTTCAACACATTTTGATGCATGTATAGTTATTTGTGCTCGTGAAACATCACATTGATTTAATTTATCCATCCATTTATTTTGTTTCTCCCTACAATTCCCTGCACCCCCCCCCCCTCTTATCATCTTCCATCCCCCCCTTCATCCCTCACTCCCCTCCTTTTTTCTCCATCCCTGCTTTTCTTTTGATCACCACCTGCATCCAGTGTACTGTATCACATCCCCCTCCAAGGATGAGCGTTACCGAGCTCCCCCTCCCACCCCTCCAGGCTACCAGGGTCTGGCTCTGGGGGACCTCGGCCTCTCAGACGGAGTAGTAGGGGGGCCCGGAGTCCTCCTCCCCCGGCCCCCCCACCTCAGACCTCCAGAGTACAGCGTGGCGCTGCAGAGGAGCAAACTGCTGCATAGCCCCGGAGCGGCGGGGGGGCTGGCCGAGGCGCGGAGGCTGGCGGGGAACCATCACTTCCACAAGCAGGAGGCCCGGACTGCCGGCCCCCCCCAGGTCCACTCCAGACCCCCCAGCATCTGCCTTCCCCCCCAGGATCTGGCTGACAGCGAGGATGGTACGTCCCACACGAGCGAAAGATGAATATACTTCAATGTTCTAAAAACAAACCAAAATCCCCTGTAGTTCTGTTATTGGTGGAATGATGATGTAACAGAAAGTAAGTTAAATTGTATATGGTGCTAAAAAGGTCTTAAAGAGTCTAAAATGACCTTACTTATGTCTGCAGTATGTATTACATTAAGTGATGGATGGTACGTCCCACAGGAGGGAAACATGACTATACTCCACTCTGAATTTCACACTTTGACTCTTTGCCAACATTTTGAAGAGTCAAATGTTATAAAGACAAACCAAAATTCCCTGTAATTATATTATAACTGGTGTGAGGATGTGACAGGAAGTACATTTAATTATATGTGGGGTTAAAAAGGTCCTAAAAAGTATTTAATTAACTTATCTTTGCAGAAACCCTGGAAAAATGTTACATGAATTGATGGGCGGTTCATCCCACAGGAGGGGGCCATGATAACAAACCACTTAGAATGTCCACACTTTAAAGAGTTATGGTTGTTAAAACAAACCTAAATCCCTATAATAATTAGCTTATACTATTTTTCTAGGTTTTAATGGTGTGATCTTAAACAGATATGAAATGTCATTCTTTAAAAGGTCTTAAATACTGGTCTAAGGTCCCAAATGACATGGTTAACCCTGCAGAAACCCTCTGAAATGTTTTAAATTCAGTTCCAACAAACCTGTAAACATGTTCTTCTCTCCTCTCCCCCAGATGAGCAAGTGTCAGCGGTGTGAAGGCGGGGTCTCCACCCTCACACACACATTCTCACACACGGACCAAGTGGTGTCGCTCAGGCGTTGTTGGACTGAACTCACTGCGTTTCAGAGCACATTCTCCAAGCCCCGCCCACACAGCCCTGTATGACATCACCGCGGACCACAATGCACCTCTCGACCCACCCATTGGGTTTTTCTCTGCCTCCCAAGACTTGTACAATCATATATTTTGTAAACCCATTTCACAAACAAAGAAGAACAAGAAAGATTTGAAATACTTTTTAAAAACTCTTGAACGAAGCAGAGGCAGACGTACGTGGAAAAGGACAAAGAAAGGAAGGAAGGAAAAAGTGACAATTAACGACGTCTCGCGAGAAGAATCGGCCTCTTTGGAAAACAGACCACAATGTACCTCCATTTTCAAGCTCTCTTTTTTTTGGGGAGTTTCACATTGTTTTTAAGGTTTTATTATCTTCATGTCTGAGCTTTGCAAAGTGAAATTGTGAGGAGGAGGAGGAGGAGGAGGAGGAGGAGGAGCAGAAAGGGATAGAAAGCTGTAGTCAGAGGTGAAGGTGGGGTTATTTTAGTTTTTCGCTTGCTGTCAGCTCAAACGAAGATGAATGTAGACGAATAAATAAAAGCATTTAGTGGTCTTCATGGACCTCTATCCAACCCTGGCACTGATGATGTTCATTTACAAATCAGTTCCCACACAAACAAACGAAACAGAAACCATACATCACTCCACCTAAGAGGCGGAAATTAGAAATGAAACTCCTGAAGTCACAGAGATGACTTCTTATTGTGTTTACCACTTTGTTTAGCTTTTATCTGAGCGTCTCTCAGGCAGTTGTGTGTCTTGAAGTCACCCCCCCCCCCCCTTATTACCCGTTCAGTCTGACGCGAGGTACTTTAGCGGCATGCTGCCTCCTGGATGTTCTATAAAAACTGTATTATAACTCGTTTTTAATGAGCTGAAGAACAAAATGCCTCGCTGCTTCCTGTAGAGTACAACGCGTGTCCTTATTTTATTGCAGCAGCTATAATAAAACGATAAATTAGCACTGTGTGGTCGCACAACGCGCATGCATACACACACACACACACACCACGATCTAAGAGGGTGTGCGTAAAGACAAAGGACAGTGTTTACACCGACACGTTTTGTTTACAGTGTTTATTAGACCAGTCGTATTACAAGCAGAGATGTTAAAGTATAATGCTTACGGTTTATTTGACCTTGTACATTTGTTTATAGAGCAACAAGAATATGAGATGCAGCATACACTTCGACTCTCACAGTGTACCTCTCGTATCGCATCTTATTTAAAAAGAACGAGCGACAAAACGAGTCGACAGATTATGTATTCTAACGCTTGCATCTCCATTCCATGTTCATAGTACATTTTGTAGAATATTTAAGGATTTGCTTGAACATTTGTCTATTTGTATTGAAAACAGAAGCACATTTGTACATTCTGGCTGATGTTTTGGAGACGGAGAACTTGTTTTGAATTGTGTTGATCTGCAGCGGGGGTGTAACTGGAATATGACGTTCTTCCCTTTCCTCTGTGACGCTTCTTTTGTATTGTTTTGCCACACAAAGACTTGAAATGACTCATGCTAATATATACATGGCATATATACGAATTTATACATAGATATTTTTGTTTTTCCTTTGCCATAAATTAACGTCATGTATAGATGAGAGAAGAGAGTCCTCTATAAAGGCTATTTTTGAATATTTTGTTATAAGAAATAATCCAAGGTTGTGATTGCCCAGTTTCTGTCGACGGGCAGGAATCTTTTAAGGAATTTCTGTTAGTTTTGAGTCATCAATCATGACTTCTTTTCTCCCCTCACACTCTGTTGTTGGTGCCATTTCTGCTCCATATACAATCGTTATTGCTGCTGTGTGTGTGTGTGTGTGTGTGTGTGTGTGTGTGTGTGTGTGTGTGTGTGTGTGTGTGTGTGTGTGTGTGTGTGTGGTGTGTGTGTGTGTGTGTGTGTGTGTGTGTGTGTGTGTGTGTGTGTGTGTGTGTGTGTGTGTGTGTGTGTGTGTGTGTGTGTGTGTGTGTGTGTGTGTGTGTGTGTGTGTGTGTGTGTGTGTGTGTGTGTGTGTGTGTGTGTGTGTGTGAGATGGGATGGGATGGGATTATATTTGCAAAAATCAACATAGCATTTTTTTTTTTTTTACCCCCATTTGGATTCGGCATGCGGAACATAAGGAACGGCTCAGAAGTCATTTCCTGTAAAAACCCTTCTTAGTTTGCAGCAGTGATTAAACTCAGGCTGGTGATTGAAAGGACTTTTGTTGACGCTTTTGTATCCCGGAACAAGCCCTGCCACCATGCTGTGTCTAGTCTAATCTATGTTTCCCTCTCTGCTCTGTCAATTCAGCGGGACTTTCATTTTTCAAATGTTCTCCTTACTGTACTCGTTTAATGGATATCCTTCCATTGCTGAAGGGTCTTACATGAATCATGTGTCCCACTGTGAGCCTTGCCATACTCCCTTTTTCCTTTAAAAAAAAAAAAAAATCTCAGCAGCAGAAAACTTCAAAACAGACTGAGTCCTTGTTTTTTTTTTGCACAACTGTATTCCTCAGATTTGTTTTACCATAAATCAGTATTAATGTTCTCTGTACACAGATCTTAGTGAGAGGAAATGCTATATATATATTTACCTGCTTTTATAATGAGCTCTAACCATGACACAGGAAGAGTTTTGTGGTTATCCATACTATTATTGTACAGAATTTTTAATGAAACTGGCTCCACGTTGGACATTTGTTTTATTTCTCTCATAAGCACTCCGACATGTTACCTTTTTTTTTTTTTTCAGGGATAAATCATTTTTTGTAGTCACCCTTTTTTCTCCGACTCTAAATACAATAGGTGTGTTTTTATGGAGGATCCGGCAGTGAGCACTGTGAACACAACATGTCAGTGTTTTAGACAACATTAAATCCCCCCCCCCCCCCTCCCCCCACGCGCCATTTTACCTGGAATGCAATAAGAGAGATGTGAATGTGTTTTTTTTAGTCGACATCTTTTTGGCATTACAGCAGAAATGCACAACAATAAGCTTGGATGTGGTGAGTGTGCTGCACAATCTGTACAGAGCTGTTAACTCGGTCTGTGGCTTAACGTTTGCTTTTGTCTCACACTTCTCATAGCTGTTGTAACTTATGTCTTTTAGAAAGACAACATGATTTTGCTCGTATGCTTTTTATGTATTTTTTACGAGTGATTGTAAATAGTTGTTATATTTTTGTTTAAGAGAATGTTTAAAAAGGAAAAAATACCTTTTATTTCTCCAAGTCTACTGATATGAATTTGGACAATGAATAAAATGTTAAACAGAAACAATCTTTTTGTCTTTAATTATGCTTCATACTTGGTTCCTAAAAGTCTTCCACAACAAACATGTTTTTTTCCCCTCCTTTTGCTTGGATTTTGGCAGTTTTTATTGTTAAATACCAGAAACATTAACCTCTCCAGACTTTTGAAACTAATCAAAGAAATCAATCATCAACTGTATCACCTTTGAATGTAATGCATATACAAACTATTTGCACAAAACTGTTGGATTCTGTTTTAATATGCTGGCAAAATATAAAATAGCAGATTAAATAGTGGATGGATTGCATGTGGCAATATAAAGTAACTAACTACACACCCCATCTTTAGTGCTTTGCTAAAGTGTTATGTAACCCAGATGTCTACAATTACTTTATCTTTCAGACATGTGAATCCCGGCTAGAAGCTACATGTGTCATCTTTTGAGGAACCTGAAGATTTCGGCCCATTTGTCACCAATTTCAAGTCAAACACAGCCAGTGTGTTTGGTGTAGTATCCACTCTCTGACCCTTTAACCTGTACATCTTAAAATGAAAGAGAAGAAGCCTAATCTCTCTCTCTAGTTCTTCAGATGCCCTAAGTTTTGTCCTCGCTGTTTTTCCACCTTCTGCTGCGTTCAGCTCAGTATCAGATCTGATCTGAGAGCAGGGAGTCGCACGCTGTGCTCAAGGTCAGTTCCTTTATTACTCATTAAAGGTTCACTGTCACACAGAGGGGCAGACCTGCTGTGTGTGGTGTGTGTGTGTGCACACACACCACACACACAACAATGTGTGTATATGGTACATGGGCTGAACCAAGCACAAATGTGTCTCATCAGCAGAGTGTCCACATCAGAAATGACTAAATCAATTGTTATTATAATAATGCAATGTCCCTAAGTAGATAAAGAGCTTTCTTGCATGTCACTCCCTGTGTGTTGCTGCTCCCACAGCAGGGAATTAATGTAACCTTTAAAAGGTCAGGTCACCAAATGACAAAAACAAATCATTCACTATGAAACAGGAGTCCGGCTGACCAGACATAACTCATGATGGTTGGAATTGCCATTGATCTGTTGAATCTCGAGTTAAGCAACGTTATGAAAACAACTTTAGGTCTGCATACTAGCTTTCTAAAGCTTTCAACCATACAAACAACAATCTAGAAAGCTGTACGAGGTAACGAGGTGGTACAAAAGCTTAAAAACTGTTCAAAACATCACAAAATGCACTAAAAGGCTGACAGAGGAGGATAAAGGGCCAAGAGAAACTATATAAATTACATTTAGAAATATTATCTTGTATTAGCAATATCTGTTAACAAAAGTCCCTCTAAGATAATTTGTAGAAAACAATGTCAGACTGTCTTTTTAGGGACTAAAGTAAACAGTTATTTTTAGTACATTGAGTAAATGAAGACACCAGCCATATCCTTAAATACAAATATTTCCCTCTTATTGTCTAATAAAATGAACTACAGGAAAACAAGATGTTTGAGAAAGCCTGTTCAACTCAAATGACTTTTAGCAAACTTCTGCAAAATCTGACTTCGACACTATCTGAAGTGCTTCTTAAGACTGCTTTTCCTGCGATGTGTAATAGAGATGGATCATGGTGGTGGAGGTGGGGGGGGGGGGGCCTGTTAACCAGCACGTTCAAAGAGCTGGTCTTTCCACTTCAGAGAGAATATTCCTGAAGGATGAGAGAAGTGAAAGTTCAGCACCAAGTGGGATTTTGAGTGGAAACGAGTGAGAGAAATTACACACAGCTTCAATTATACATCACAAAGGGGGCGAAAGAGCTCTGGATGGCAGGGGAGGAAATGTGGAGAAACTGGAACGCCTGGGTCTGTGTGTGTGTGTGTGTGTGTGTGTGTGTGTGTGTGTGTGTGTGTGTGTGTGTGTGTGTGTGTGTGTGTGTGTGTGTGTGTGTGTGTGTGTGTGTGTGTGTGTGTGTGTGTGTGTGTGTGTGTGTGTGTGTGTGTGTGTGTGTGTGTGTGTGTGTGTGTGTGTGTGTGTGTGTGTGTGTGTGTGTGTGTGTGTGTGTGTTTGCGTGCGTGCGTGCGTGCGTGCGTGCGTGCGTGTCCCACCTCTCCTCTGTTTTGACTTTGAAGTTGTGACTTTGTTAGGGGCCGTGAGCAGTGGGTGGGAAAACGGGAAACTTTAACACCTGAGAGTTGTGCGCACACACAGGGGTTGGCTCTTAGCATATTCCGGTCTAAATCAAAATTTGTGAAGCAAAACAGTTTGGAACATATTCTGTCCCCTGTATGGTCTCAGCACTGCCCTTGAGCGCATGCATCTGTGGGTGTGTGTGCATTTGTACGCA